AGAAAGCATTCTTTTTTGCGGATATAATCGTGTGGGCTGATGAAAAGAGTATATCTTTTATTTTCCGTGTTTTTACTATATATATATATATATATTTTAAAAGTCTTGCTACTGTAAATATAAATGGTTCATCAAAAAAAGGAGGAAAAAAAAAAGAAAGATTAGTCTATAATCAAAACCTTATTTTCGTGAAGATCCGATCATTAGATCAAAAGTTATTCAGGATGGTCCGTTTTTTTGGTGCACTGTACATCAATCAAAGCATCAAGCAAGTGGATCAGTATATCAAGCAAACATATAATCAGATTGGTTTCGATAATTTTATTAGTTTCATTTTATCGTTTAATAGTTACTTATTTATTTTTATTTTTATTAAACTGCGGTGAAATTTATAAAACTTTTCAAATGAACTGCATTTGAAAAATGAAAATCGCACTTTGTATCTTTAAAAATATAGTACTATTTTTTCATTTTTAGTTCAAAGGACCATTTTCCATAGAAGTGGGATTCTTTGAGCATTTTCTTTTAACTTCTGATTAATTTTGAAAGAAAATAAACTTAAAATTTGTCATTTAACTTTTATTAAGTCACCCAAGAGGTAGCTAAAAAAAGCTTTTGATTATGTTTTACCTCAACATGTTCGACATCTCTTCCTAGTTCTGATAAAGTGGCAGAACCAGACATTGCTTTTAGTTGAGCTATTAGGTGTTTGACTTCTTTCTCATATAAGAAATATTCTTCTTTTTCTTTCAATACAGCTGTTTTCTTTAATATGTTCCTTCGTAATTCTTCAAAGTGGTCAGTCACTTCGTCCTAGAATTATGAAAATAATTTATAATAAATTTGTATTTGTGGTGTTCATGTTCGATTGCAAGTATGAAATTCATTATTTAAAATGAAAATAAAATAGCTTAATGTATTTTAAATAACATAATCTATCTATTATATTTTTTGATGACTATTCAGATAGAAAATAATTTGCTTGTTTGGTTTCCTGTTACATGATTATTTTCATGCTGCTGATTTTAAATCTACAAACGGATTTTCTCCCCAAACTGCAGCTTTCTTAAATAGCATTTCTGGTCTATTCTTTGTTAAAATGTACAACTTTTAAAACGTTATGCAGAACAGGGAGTCGCGTAAATATAGTGACTAACTTTTAGTGGAGTTAAAGCACATCATTGGGGTTAAATTTGCATAGGAGCCCTTAATGTTATCAGGCGCTTTCCTATTATGAGGTGTTCCATTGTGGGCTTCTGGAACATATCATGATAGAAAAGTGCCTCTAGCCGCGTACGATGACATTTCTGGGCATGAGTTCCTAAGCACTTTCACTTTTGATCATGTGCCCTATATCCCTCAGAAAATTATCGCAAAATTTACGTGATCCCCAGTTATAAATAACGTTTTTAATCTCGCACATTTTGACAAAAAAGTAGACTAAAAATGTCATTTAAAAAAATCTGTGGCCTTAGGAACAAAGCTAGTTTCAGATTTAAGAACCCAATACTCGAATTAGGTAAGATCACGTATTTTTAAAAATGCAACAAAAAATTTATTCCCCAGTGTTATCGTTTGCCTGACTTTAAATTAGTTTAAATATATTTTTAATAGATAAGCATATCTACTTTATTTTCTGAAGATTGATATTACATTTTACAAGACTACAAACTAATTTAAATAGATCTCAAAGTATATATATAAATTTATACTAGAATAGTTTTGAAAATTAATGCATTTTTTTATTGTAATATAAATTTTAAAAGATTTCATAAAGACTGATTTATATTTTAGTGACTAATTGAATGTTTAATTTAACTATCAGTAAAAGGTCTTCAATGCATGATTTTGGTAACTTTTTCGATTATTAATTATGTTTTGCTAATTATGTTACTTATATGACCATTTTTTATGATTAATTATGTTACTGCCAGACTTAAAATTAGCTTAAATAGATTTTTAAAAAATTAATATATCTATTTAATTTTTCGATGATTAATATTATGTATAACAAGATTTCAAGCCAGCTTAAATAGACCTCTATATCTTTTTAAGTATATTGGAATAATTTTGATTTATTAATTCATTTTTTATTGTAATATAAATTTCCTAAGGCTTCATAAAGATTTATTTATATTTTAGTGACAAATTGAATGATTAAAGTAATTGTCTGGAAAAAGGCTTCCAATACGCGATGCGAAATTCTATCATAAGAACTTATCAAAATTTGTATTAACGTAATTTATAAACAGTTCAATAAAAATAATTTTAAAAAAAGGTAATAAGAATATTTTTATGCTGATCGGTATGTTTTTAGTGAACACATTAATACAGTTATAGAAATCTCTATAATTTAAATATTGAAAAAATGTCATGTAGTATAGCGAATCCCAAATGGTTTGCAAAATTAAAAATATAATTTTTAATAATTCAAACCTTTTTTAAAAAAAGTTTAATTTGGGATTTATGTATTTGGTTCTAAATTCATAATAACATGTTAAAAACGGTGCATGAAAAAGAGAAATTATATTACATCTAAAGATGCACTCTTGTTTAAACTCTTTATGAGAGATCTTATATGGAAATCTAAAGCTGATGCCTGAAAAGGAGAAATTATACCATATTTGAAGCTACGTTGATCAAGAGTCTTTGAATTGTTTATGAGAGATATTATATGGAAGTCTAAAATTGGTGCCTGAAAAGGAGAAATTGTACGATATTTGAAGCTACGTTGATCAAGGATCTTTGAATTCTTTATGAGAGATCTTATATGAAAATCTGAAATTGGTGCATGAAAAGAAGACATTATACCATATTTGAAGCTGCGTTGATCAAGGATCTTTGAATTCTTTATGAGAGATCTCATAAGGAAGTCTAAGGCTGATGCCTGAAGAGGAGAAATTATACCATATTTGAAGCTACGTTGATTAATAATCTTTAAATTCTTTATGAGAGGTCTTATATGGAAATCTAAAATTGGTGCATGAAAAGAAGAAATTATACCATATTTGAAGCTACGTTGATCAAGGATCTTTGAATTCTTTATGAGAGATCTCATATGGAAATCTGATATTGGGGCCTGAAAAGGAGAAATTATACCATATTTGAAGCTACGTTGATCAAGGATCTTCGAACTCTTTATGAGAGATCATATATGGAATAATGCTCAAAATGGCAAATACTAGACTGCACACATTTGTTGACGTCTATTTTTTCAATGAAAAAACTGGGTGACAGGTTTTATTAAATTTGATTAAATATTTGGTGCATTTTTAATGATTTTTGTTAGTTTACTATAATCTAGTTATGTCCTCTCTTCAATCAAACTTAAACATTCCGAAGAAATAAGATTTGTTTAATCAGTAAAGATGCAAATTTATGCATTTTTATTGGTACTATCTTTTACTATTCTGCATGCTTTGTGGGATACGCAGAATTCTACCCATTAACGAAACAGAAAATAAACCCATAAGTAAGACAACTTTAAATGATAATCAATTTTAAATTCTAAACAACCTGCTTTTTCTGGATGTTCTCGCAATCAAAATGGTTTCTTGCAATTAAGCTGGCGCTGATATCTTCTAAATTTTGTATGGTACTTCGAAATGCAGCAGATGCTGCATCAACTGCATTCAGCTTTTTCTGTATAGCCTGAAAAAAATCATTAATTAAAGAGTAATTAAAAAGACATTTGTATACTTAATCTATTTCATACTAATAATATCAACTCCTTTAAAAATTATTTGATTAAAATAATTTTGTTTTACCTGCACAGAGTATACGTCTGGCTCAATGTTATAACCAATAACTTGAGATAATTTTTCCTTAACCCATATTTCCGCTTGATTTGCTTCAAAGAAGTACTAGATAAGAAAAATAAAATTATCTTATAATCGGTTAAATACATTAGACATTACTACATTTATGATATAATTAAATACCTTATACTTGGATTAGAACCATTTTGAATTAAAATTGCTATTTCGTATAGTGAATTCTAAAAACTATATTATAATCGGTAAAATAATTTAGTCTTTACCACATTTATGATCTAATTAAATTTATCATACTTGATTAGAACCATCGTAATTTTAAAAAATTTTACATCGAGAATTCTACACTCATATCATCGATTTGCAAATAAGAACTCTTTAGAATCCATTAATTGAATTAAATTTCTAATTAGTTTTATTGCCAGGTAAGGATTTTAAAACATAATTCTGACCAAATTTAGATAATTAAAGGAAAGAAAATTTTATTACTAGCATATATATTGCTCAAACTAGGGTCTGAAATTGTGAGGTCTCGTATAATGTTTTATTATTTGAAATAAAATTCTCCGAAATATTTTGTTAATTAAATCGTAATTCAGACCTTTTGAAACAATATTATTATTACATTGAATAAAGAAAGTTAAATAAAAATTATAAAGTAACTTATCTTTTTTAATATCTTTAAAACTTTGTTATCTTTAAAATGAATATTACTTTTTCTCAAAATTTCAGTTATTTCTTTATTATGTCACATTTCCCTTGTTATGTTATATTTTCTTTATTATGTCAGGCATTCCTTATTATGTTATGCGTAATTATGCGTATTTTTGTTTCAACACGTACATTTTATATATTGAAAGTAATTTTATAGCTCATGAGATGATTATAATTTTAATAACAGTATAGGTAAAGAAAATTAAACAATTTGATTTACAACCATTTTAATATAACGTTGCTTTATTTAATTTTAATATTTTATGTATTTCATTTTTAAAACAGCGTTGAACCAACTACCCATTTATGGGTTTATAGCTATCATTATTCATTTTCATACTTTTATTTATTTTATAACCCACGTTGAACGGCTAACTCTTGGTAGCCTTGGAATTTTGAAACTCCCCCAGAGGACAAGGAACTCTCTGGATCAAGCATTGGGGTCTAGCCTTCGAGGAGGACTTTTTTATGAAATAACTTTTTGATGAGGAAAAACACGAAAATCTCCCACGGTTAGTCCGATGGCAAAAGAATTCTACCCCATGATCCGTCTACCACTCAGGAGATTCTTATGTCAGCACTGTGGTTGGGGCGTGCCAGAAGCAGAATTCGTATCGTCTAGTCAACGCTGCGATTCGAACCTGTTTCACCTCATTGGTAGGCGATCGATCTATCTCCACAGTCACCGCGACTTTTAACACGCATGTGCGTCATACGGTGAGGACAACTTCAATAAACTTTTCACGGTTAGCCCGATGGCAGAAGGATTTTAACCCATGGCTCATTTTCCACTGAGGATATTTTACGTCAGCACTGTGGTCGGTGCGAGCCGGGAGCTGAATTCGTATCGATCGGGAGCGGCTGAGATTTGAACCCGGGCCTGGGTTGTCTCACCGAAAGGCGAGCGCTCTATCTCCTTATCCATAATGGCTCCATCTGTATCGTTGTGATAAATTTAATGTAACATATAGAAATAAAATTAAGCTTTATTAAGGAATGAAATTTGTGTTATATAAATTCGAGAAACTTAACTCTAGCCCTTGATTTTGTAAGAATAATATATAATTTTATCAAATTTTTTTTAATAGCCATAAAGTAAATTAATCAACCTTTTGTGCTTCAAGGGCATCGGCCAATCTTAGTCTTCGTAAACTAGCTGCATCTTTCAGAACTTGGAAGCGTTGTTCTAATTGGTTCACCTTTTCTTCAGCTGCCTCACCCTTAGCTCTTCGACCACGTTCTACAACTGATGATATGAGAGGCTCTCGAGATATTATCTCTGTCTCCAAGGCCTTAAAACAACAACAAGAAAAAGATAATGATTAGTTACAGTAATTTTTATTCCATATTAAATGAATGAGATTATATCAGCTTCGAATCAGACCTGTAAATTTTTCTGAAAAGCTTGAATGGTCATGATATCATCGTAGTATTCGTCCGATTCGCATAACTTTATGTTTTCTTCAATCCAAGAAAGTTCGTCATTAATATCTTTCTCCAGCTCAGACAGCCAAAGAGCACCTTCTAAATCTATACTTTTCTCATGTAGACCATTCTCCACAGAACGATATCTAAAAAATAAAATTGTTAGTAGATAAAAAAACTTAAAAACTTTTTATCTTCCTGTAAAGGCATTGTCAAAATATACCAACATGAGAAATTTAATAGCATACAATTATAAACTGTAAAACTTATTGTTGATGTCATATAAACATAGAATGCTTAATTAATCTGTAACCTAATCAAATTGGGTTGTTCGTAAAGTGATTTCGTTTATTATTAACGGAGGACTTAATTGTATTTTTTCGCAGCCACATATAGCTACACAAACATTTTATGCAACTATATGTGGCGCGACGAAAAAAGTGCATTTGTTTATTTCGCCACTAGAAATCCATAAAAATCACTCAAGCACTTCATATTTAAATAAAACAAAGTACCAAAAGATAATATCCATATAATGTCGAAACGATAAAATTAGTTTTCATAAATTAAAATATAAATAACAAAAGAAAACGATAAAATTATAATCCAACTAGTAATTAAACTTTTTAGCGCAACGGGGAGCTACATGCGTTAGTTTAAGAAACGTTCCTTTATTGCGTGATACAGAGTTAGGGGGAATACTTCTTAAATAAGGGAATACTTTCAGATATATTTTATATTCTCTAAACATTGAAACACATTTTTAATTCTCAAACGAACACCAAGAAATTTGAACTGGTAGACAAGTTTAAGGCTTAATATATTCGTAACTACAAATAAGTAAAATTTTAAAAATCAAATTTAGATTGAAAACCTATAAAAGTTAGTGTGAGACTTTAATGTTTGCTTAAAAAGAAAGAAATCTTGCAGTTTTATGAAAGGAAATGCTACCAAATTTTAAAAGTATTATAAAATGTTGTTTTTGGTTTACTATTACAATAAAAATAGAAAATAATATTTCCGAAAAAAAAAACAAAGCTGAAAATGGAATTAAACACTATATCGAGCTGTCAAATACTATTTTTTCTAATTACTACCAAAACATTTTACCTCTGAATAGCTTCCTTTAGTTCAAATGCAATGTTATCTTTAGAAAAGTGATTTGCTTGCTGAAATTCCTCTGAAACTTCTCCTAAATATCGAAGAGTATCGGAATTCTCTTCGGCTTCTCTTTGTAGTTCCTAAAAATGAAAAAAAGGAGCATTGAAGCAATAGTTCACAAAATTACTCTATGGAACCTAGGAGTTCCTTTGAAGAATCACAGGGGTTCCGTAAGTAGGGATTATTTTTTAACCAATAAGACCTGTAATTATATTTACATTGAATAAACATTCCATTATTTATTTTATTTTTCATTTTTATGAAATTATTCCAAAAACAAATCAGTGAAAAAAATATTATTTATAAACTTCTTTTTCAAATGCCAAAACATTGAAAAAAAATACGAAAAAGATATGCATTTTAGACAAGATGCCGCTCAAGACTTTTGAATTCATCTGCTTGTAATGTCTAAGTTTTATACTATTATTGATTAAATGGTGAAAAAACTCATTTCATTATTCACAATAATTATTTACAAAACGTTTGGAAGCATTCCTCTGATTAATTTGTTTGCAACTACTAAAGAACTTAATCTATTAAATCGGAATTTCGCCAAAAGAAGGTACACTATCTGGCCATTAATGACCGGACACCTCTCATTTCGGATACATGAGGTGCTAGTATCAAGTCAGTAGGGCGTAGGGCCGCCACGCGCCCGAATCACAGCTTTAACCCTTCTAGGAAGGCTATCCACTAGGTGTTGGTACACGGCGGCAGGTATTGCCCGCCATTCCTCCTGTAACATGGCGAAGAGTTGAGTGGTGGTTTTGGGGCGTTGTGGTCTGGCCCTCAACCGGCGCTCCAACTCATCCCAGAGATGCTCAATTGGATTGATGTCGGGACTTTGGGATGGCCAGTCAAGCTCTTGCACCCCCATTTCATCAAACCAGTCCGTGATGGCATGTGCTTTATGAATGGCAGCGTTATCGTGTTGAAACACAAACGGGCCATTACCGAACTGTTGCCACAGGGTGGGAAGCGCCGAATTGTCCAGGATGTCTCTATACCCTTCTGCGTTCAGGGTTCCACGCACTAACACCAAGGGTCCAAGGCCAAACCATGAGAAACAGGACCACACCATAATTCCTCCACCGCCGAACTTCACAGTGGGGACAATGCACTCCGGTAGGTACCGTTCTCCGGGCATTCGCCAGGTCCACACCCGTCCATCAGAGTGCCACAACATGTAGCGTGACTCATCACTCCACATAACGCTTTTCCATTGCTCTACTGTCCACTGGCGACGTGCTCTGCAACACTGAAATCGGTGGCGGGCGTTTGATGGAGAGATGTTTGGCTTATGTGCTGCTGCTCGTCCATGGAATCCTTGTGCAATCAGCTCCCGATGAATGGTACGTGTATTGGCAACACTGCCAGATGCAGCCCGGATGCTGGTAGCGACAGTGTCCAACGACATTTGTCGGTTTGCCTTCACTGCACGTCGAAGAGATCGTCGATCCCTGTAAGACATTATTTTGGGGTTGCCGGGTCGGGACTGCGGTTTTATCACTCCCTCTCGTTCCCATTTCAACACGACGTCACCAACTATTGACCGATGTATCTGAAACTTGTCGGAGATGGCATGTATGGAATTACCAAATCGGTGGGAGCCTATGATCATGCCCTTTTCCGCCTCATTCAGCTCTCACCGTCCACTCATTTTCACTGTTAACGCTCGTATGGCCGTCGCCTGCTTGCGAATGGTCTTCCCCCCACCACAGGTTGCGTATTTATTCCACCAGGACGAGTCCACCTGCCTTTCAAGGGGTGTCCGGTCATTAATGGCTAGATAGTGTAGATCGGTTATGGCTTCTTTGCTAGAAAATATTAGCAATTGCCAATTAGTTAGTCACATGAATTTCTAAATTTACATAATTATTGTTAATTATTCGATTACACCGTACCTGAATTTGATGTAGCTGTTGTTGAAGTGAATCGTAATTTGCATCATAATCTTCAAACAATATTTGACCTTCAGCTTCTTCCAGCCAATAGTGAACATCTTCTAACTTTCTTGTGAATTGTAAAGCCTGAAAATATCATTGTTTTAGATGCAAAACCTTTCAAAATTATTGAATTTAAGGTATCCGACTGGATTCGGTACAAAGTTTTTTTAAAAAAACAGCTTTACTTAAAATTTAAATTTTTTTTTGAAAGCAGGGGTCCAAAAATTATATCTCTGAAGTAAACTTTATAAGTTTATAAAATATCTTTAAAAGTTTATAAAATATCTTATAAGGGCAAACTTGAGTATAAAAACAGGAAATTTTTCATGTCAAGCTAACAGTTAATTTTAATTGTAATATAACTAATTGTAATGCATGGGTATCAAAATATTTTTTATCAATCAATAATATAATTATCTGAGTTTTATATTAAAGTCTTAAAAAATTTTCAAATGCGTAATGAAATAGAACTAAATATATTACTAAATATTGATTTTTTAAAGAAATATTCTAAATATTGTTACTTAAAGCATGATAAAAGTAAAAAATTCACACTTAGATTTTAACAAAACATTATTAATATTATACAAAATCTATTCTATTCAAAGGATTCTATAATAAGGTTTATTTGTAATGTGTGTTAGGGTTAAAAGTTTTTTCCAAAATCAGCGTTTCTCTGTAAATGTATTTAAAGTATGTAATCACCGAAAATAATAAACAATTTATTTTAAATTAATTAAATAATTCAAATCCTAACACTCATCGTCAATTTGAAGAGATTTAGTATGCTAGTAAGTAAAAGTTTAAATATAGACTATGTAAAAAAAATTCAAAATTTTCGTCAAAATTGCCCATTTTTAACCCTGTAGAATGCCTTTTTTTTTTTTTGTCGTATGCCTGTTTAGGCAGTGGGCGTGCGATTGTTCCTGTTCTTCAGTGGCGCCATCTATGGCCAGAAATTCGACTTCTGCCCCGCCATTCACACAACCACAACCCTCTTATAGGGCGGGTCACATTCACACACAAAGGAGAAAGGACATAGAACACACAGAGAGAGAGAAAGAAACATCCATGCCTTGCCCGGGATTCGAAACCAGGACCTTTCTGATGCAAAGACAGTTTACTGCCCCCTACACAGGCCGGTCGGCAGTAGAATACCTTAAAATATGAATTTAGAATCTTACATCTGACGCTTCCATAAGTTTTTCTTTTCTTAAATTAGATGCATTCAACAACTGTTCCCATTGGTTTTCAACATTTTCTGCATGTTGTTTAATCTCGGTCGAGGCAAAGTGGTTTTCTTGAATTAGTTTTTCAGCTTGTTTGGTGAAATCAACAACACGGCTATGATTGGCCATTATTTCAGCTTCAAAAGCCATATGTTTTTGGGTTTTACTTAAAAGGTTAGTTAAGTCTCTATAAGAATCATCTGAAGCAACGCGGATTTTTTCATCCATCCAATGCGTAATCTGAAAAAAGAAAATATGAAACAATTAAACATGTCTTTTTTTCGAAAAGTAATTTATTTTGAGATTCATTCAATGAAACAATTTAGCCAACAATTATTATAGGGTGTCCATCGAAGAACTGATTTATTTAAAAATTAAAAATCTCGGAAACAAAAAGTGATAGATACATATATAAATAATGCTGAAACTGACCTTTTTCTGTTTACCTTTTCTAAAAAACTACTTATGCTATCGCTTTGAAATTTTTTGGAGATATTTGAGATTACGTCAGTTGTATGCTGTGATCATGTTTAAGCGTTTGCAGGAATATTTTCTGAGTTATGAAAGATTTTTGATGATACTTTTTTAAAAGTTAAAAGTTCATAGTTCATAATTTTTTTAAATTTTTTTTGTTGCCAAATATATGTATTAACAGTTATCATAATGTAAACATGCTTATGTAAATATTCTGCCAAAAAAAACTGAAGCAATATCTTATTTATATGCTTAAGAAAGGTATATTGAAAAAAGTCGATTTTAGCAATTTTGAAAAATGCCTGCAGACTTCTCTTAAAATTACAGTTTTTTTAAAAAATATTTTGTGTCGATCTTTTTTTGTATTATTCAATTTTAATTAGCTAAATTTGTCACTAATGGTACCTGTCTCATTTGTCACTAATGTTACTTGCCTCATTTGTAGACTAATGGTACCTGCCTCATTTTGTGGTTGAAGCTTTTTTTTTTCATAAATAAATAAATTTCATTAAATATAGAAATAACATTTAAAAAAAATACTCTTAATTTATATTTCCTATTCATATATTTTATTTGGTTATGAAGCATTTTCTTCAAAAAAAATTTTTTTTTGTTGAAATGTTTAAACAAATTTTAAAAAAAAAATTGACATTGGGAAGAAGTTGTTTCGATTAAAATTATTGAAGGAGATTAGAGAGAAGTATAGGAGGAGCAAATTGATTAGAAAAAATTGATTTTGAACTAAATACTAATGAAACTGGCTATTTCAGAAGTTTACTAAAGCCTTAACTGATCCCAGACTTCAAGCTTTGTAAAACAAAATGCCCCAAGTCATCCATGTTGATGAGACATACTTTTCTAATATTTTTTTTCTTATCAATTTGATGAAAATTACTTATAAGTTTGTTTTTTTCGTACTTATTTAAATTGTTCGATAAATAATTAAATATATAAGGTTTGGTTTTGAAATTTATTATTATCCAGTAACATACCTCATACATATCCAGAAGAAATTTCTGCAGAGTCTTAGCGTCTTCAAGGATTTTCTTACGACGCTTGCAATTTTCTTGCAAAGTGTCTCTTCTCCGACATATCTCATCACATTGCGCTTCAATTTGTTCATAATTATGATGATCTCTTAAATCTCTAGCCATCAATTCTATTTCTCGTATTTTTTCGAAATTAGCTGTACACGTTTCCTCAAAATTTTCATGCTTACGTATAAGAGCTTCAACACTGGACATGGAGTCCTAATCATTGAAAAACAATAAGGGCATTAATGTAGTTGTATTCAATTTTCTTTTTCAAATTAAGTACATTTTAAAAGTGTGATAAAAGGTAAATGACATACTCCAATATCTTGATTTGCTAAGAAAGCTTCTTTCACAGACAACCAGTTTTCGATTTGTTTGGTTTTTTCTAAGAAAAGCTGAAAGAAGTTACAATAATAAATAAAAAAAAGGATTAAAAAAATTTATACGAAGGATGTAAATTTATAAAATGGGTTAAAAAAGTGTATTTATTTAGAGTGTATACTGGTTGTTCCACAACTACCAAATTTAAACACACTAAAAAAAAAGATAAAAAACTACCAGAATATAGTAAAAGTTACGTTGTTTCAGGATCTAGGTGAACATCGAGAAGCTCGGTAATTTTTACCGAAACACTTGGTAATAATTATTGTAAAATTCAGAATAAAATATTGTTGACCATTTAAAAAAAAATGTGAGAATTTAAATAAAAACCATACAAATATAAAAGATACGCATGTTAGCACAAACAGTATTTCTTCAGGTTTGGGCTACATATATATATATATTTTTTGTATATATTTAGGTTATTTTAACTGTAACTTTCTCTTCGTTGATTATATATATGTACACGTGTATTTTTCAGTGTACTTTTAACTTATTTTCGTTTAAATTGTGCTTCTCTGAATATACAATTTTATTTTGAGGTATTGTATTATATTCTTATTTTGTTTTCCATTATGGGTCCTAAGGTCACAGCCAGTGTTTGTATTAACCACTGACTGCAGAAAGGCTTCAGGATATTAGCAGGACAGTTAATAATTTTTACGGTAATAATTACCGTAAAATCACTGAATCACTCAAATTAAACAAGCATTAATGTAAAAATTAGGGTACAATATTATATGCTAAAAAAGGATTCGACGATAAAATTGATTTTATGGATGATGCACACAAAGGGCCGATACTTTATACCGTAACTTGATCAGGAATTTCTTACAGTGTAGGCATATTTACATTTATTTATGACGGTTTAGTCAGAAAACCATAAATCATTACATGATTATGCTGCTTAAAAATGATTATAAACCAACTTCTTTCAAAGTTTGTGGAAGAAAAATGTTTTACCTCAATATTTTATACACGTCATTGTTTGATATTTAATAGCTAACAAAGAAAGGGAAAAATAAATTTCTGTCTAAAAAGAAATAGATTTTAAAATATTAATTTCTGGTCAATATTTTATTTGTTTCACAAGCAAAACTCACCTAATGCGCAAACTAATCAATTTTTTAGGTTTTCTGAGCAGCTTACTTGCGCATCAAGGTGCGAAGACTTTCTCATTCATCGCCGTTAATGCAATGTAAATTATTTTAACAATCAGTAACTCAACTTAGAAAAAAAATTACCGAATGCGGTCCGAGGACCTCACGAATAATTTCAACTCAGCTCGACTTTTACATCTCGGAGTTGTTGATTTAACATAAAATAAAGAATATTTGGGCATTATTTCAGATTTAGCTTCCAGTAAGATATTAGACAAGTGCAGGAAATATTAATATCATTTAAATTCTATTACCTGCTGATCTCTGCATTGCATGAGATCTGTATACCGATTATGCCAAACATTATCTAAATTGTAGCTGGTCTCTTGCAGTGATTGCATGCATTTCTCTATATCGGCATGGGCTAATCCAGGTTGACGCAAATATTGTTGACCTTTTTCTTGAAGATCGTTTATTTCTTGTTGACGTACAGTTATTTGCGCCTGAAAAAATACACAAATTAATAATTTAGTTATTAAAAGCAAATAATAAGTGCTTTCACTAACTTATTGCAACTCGATAAAAAGTGAAAAGCAAATATGACTTGATATATTCAAAAATGAAAATAATAGTAAAAACGGGTATTAGAAGATATAAAAATTAATAAAAAAAAGAAAGGAAATCTATTCAATGTAGCTGAAAACCATATTGTGCCAATAATAGTTTTTATACAATATCCAATAATAATTTTTGCCAATTTAATTTTTTATCTATTTAAAAAAGTAAATAGATAATGATGATTGAATATGTAGTAAAAATATTTCGTTACAGTTAATGAAGTAATAAATGCGTTTTAAGATATTTATAAAACAATTAAAAATTTTATTCACAAATAAAAATGAACTCACATGGCATAATATTGAAAATGTTTTCAATGCATAATATTAAAATTAAATTAAATTAAATTAAATTAAATTAAATTAAATTAAATTAAATTAAACACAATAAAATCAAATAAAATGCAACATAATAAAAAATGAAGTAAAAAAACAATAAAATACTTGCCTTTATATCGGAATGAATATTTAGCAGTTCTTGAGCATCACTACTGTTTGATGGAAGTTCCCCAAATTCAATTTCAGCAACAATTTCATTTATAATTCTAAGCTACAAAATTTATTAAGATATATTTGAAGAAAATTCAAAGTAGTATAAAAATACACTTGTATTACGAGTTAAAATATACGAAATGCTTTAGCTTGTGAAATAACAGGAATGATTTAAAATGATTTTAAAACTCAGAATAGTGCAAAACAAACTGAAATTTCCTCTGTACCTTCTGTTCAAAACCTATCAGCTAGAATAACAGCCAAATTCTTGAGTACGTAGTTCAATTTTCTGAATTAAAAAAAAGCTTGTATTTTAGTAGATAAAGTTTAAAATGGAACTACATTTGTGGAATTATATGATGTTGAAAGTTTTTTTTTTTAATTTCATGCACATCTTATGTAACGATAGTGAGTACTAATTTTTAAAAAAAATTGATTTTTCTAACTGTGACTTTAACTTTTCCAGATCAAGCAATACGGAGGAAACTGCTTTGAGGAAAAACTTATGGCCCGTATTATCAGAATGTAATAAAATTTACACCTCCAAAAAAAAAAACTTTCACAAAATTTTTTGGCTAGTTTTTACCTAAATGCTTTGATAATGATTTTGGTACAACTAACGATAAAATATGATTTCAGAATAGGGCGAATGTTGACAATCACATAATCGCTTTGGTGAATGTCCGAAATATTTATTACATTCGACTTGATATGAATTTATTCGTAAATATAATTACATTTATTCGATATTTTAATTAAACATTCAAACATCAGTGTTTGGAGTATCGGGCCATACATTTACATTTGACCGACATACATTTGCTCGGTATACCCTACACTGATGTTTTTTCAAGGTTAAGTGCCACTGTCCGGTATACCCTAGACTGATGTTTTTTTAAGGTGAAGTGCCACTGCCCGATATGTTTACACTGATGTTTTTTTAAGGTTAAGTGCCACTTCCCGGTATACATTTGTCCGGTATACCCTACACTGATGTTTTTTAAGGTTAAGTGCCACTGCCGGTATACATTTGCCCGGTATACCCTACACTGATGTTTTTTTAAGGTCAATTGCCATTGCCCGGTATATATTTGCCCGATACTCCACACACTGATGTTTCTTCTAATCTATCGTCAGTAAGTATTAAAATATAGAATAAATATAAATATATCAAATAAATATCATAATATCAACGAATAAATTAATATAAAATTGGATATAACAAATATTTCGGACATTCACCAAAGCGACTATGTGATTGTTGACATTCACCGGTGAGAGTCGACATTCTCCAGATTTCGGTCATTCACCGTAACATATATGGGTGATTCACACGAAGCGTGACAATTCGGACCAAAAAATTTCTTCAAATTTAAAGTCTTCAAAATAATCTAAAATTTTTTTGTATACTTCTTTAGCTACACTTATTAATATCTTATAGACAGCAGTGTAGTTTATTGACATTTGCTCGAGAAAAAAAATAAAATAGAAATTCACCAAATCTTGAATGCCAGGAAAATGACATATTACCTTAAAAGTTTAAAAAACAGTCATTTTAAGTTAATAGTAAGCAACTCAACTTAAGCCTTTATGTTAGATGGACCATAAACTGCTTAAACTAATTCTTTTTATCCACTGTAGAAAGAAACAAAAAATTTTTTGTTGCTGCTATGTACAGAATAAAATTGTGTATAATAATCATTCATTAGATAAATAAATAACTTTGATTACATCCAAACATATTACAATCACACATAAACTTGGTATTAGGTTAATATTTGCTTTCCCTCTTTACAGTATTAGGAGTTAAAAAGAATTTCTGGTAACACTTCAATGTCCTGGCATTCATAAGCCAGGATAATGACAAATTCGCCATTTTATGGCATATAACTTTACTTTAATTTAATATTTTGGCCGAAGACGCTTATATTCTGCAGAAAACAACAGTATTTCTTAAAATAACTCAGATAAATCTATGTAGTTTTTGTTATTAATGATTTCAAGAAGTCAGGAAAATGACAGCATGAAAACCTACTCACCTTGAAAAATTTTTTGAAATAGATTTTGAGCCAGAAAATTGTTCTTTATTCAAGCAACAAGACATGTTCAGATAGGAGGGTATCTAATCAATCTATTAACATAAGATATTGATTCCTGGCGCTATCTGTTTCGGTTATAAATCACTAAATAAAAGTAGCCAGGAAAATGACAGATTTTCATGGGACAAACAAATTATTGACAGAAAAAATTATTTTAAACGAAGTTTTAGTAAACAATACCCTCTGTGTATATTCTAGAAATGCTTACATAGGATAAGATAAAAAAAATTAAACTTTGAAAAATGTATGGGAAGTTTTGAAGCTAGTTATTATTGAAAATATTGTTAGGGACATACATGCCTGGAAAATGAAATTTTGATATTCAATTAAATTTTTTAAGTATACAAAACAGTCAATGCTATTGCAAAGTCATTTTAAAAGGCTAACAGTAATGCTATTTATTAATTTTTTTTAAAAAAAGTTCTTTTAGTATTATAGTATTAGATCTTGGAGCAAGGGACAGTGAATATCATGTTTCGTGAGAATCACCCATATATATATAGCAAGCGAGATCCAGTGTTAGAATCTAGCTTCAAAAGTAGTAGCAAGAAATAACTCTCTTCTTTTAGATATACTCACGTAATCATTCACATCTTTTACATATTTCAGACTGGTGTGAGCCAATTCTATATAATGTTTTCTGTAAATTAAAAATATCAAGATTATTTCTCTTTAACATTGGTAGAAAAGTTAAGATAATATGTATAATAAGTTGTAATATGATATATATAATAAGGTAAAATAATAATGAGTATAATAGTAATGTGCAGTTGTTGCAAATTTTTAGTTTTGGCACTTAAAATGTTATGTGGCAATTCTTTGAAATTTTGGAGTCGTTTTCTATGTACGGAAAAAAACGTGCCTGCAATAATTTTTCATAACCAAACACAAAGGTGTTTTTTTTAATTGAAGTTGGGAAAAACATTTCAGTTATCGAAACAAAATATATTTTCTGATATACATATATTTTATTTCATAATTTTATATTTTATAATCGTCATTGAACAGCCGATCCAATTTTGGGTTTATGATTACTAATGTAGTCTTGCAATTTTGAACCCAATCCAGAAGAAAGCAGAACTTCTGCATCAAGTATTTTTTTATTATCAAGCATATCCTGTATCAAGTATAATTTTCTTTCGTGGAGAACTTTTTTGATGGAATTAACGAGCCTTTGCGTTATATGGAAAGGAAAACCACGAAAACCTCCCAAAGTTAGCTTGACGGCAAGGTCCGTCTACCTCTAGGGATATTTTACGTCAGCATTGTGGTTGGTGCTAGCCGAAGCGGAATTTGTATCTTTTAATTTTTTTGAATGTATTAATTTCTTTAATGTTTTAAGATAATAAGTTGTTTATCTCTAATCTACGCCTTATAAAGTAAGTATTGATCAGCAATCTGAAATAGAAATGCAAACCCTATCCTGCCTACTTTTTCTGGTATGCAAGAGGGTTCTAATTTTAAATGGAGCTCTACTTCGGGTGGCAATATAAGTTTCCTTCATTTCCTTGCATTGTTAAAACTTCCGGATCAAATTACGATAAAAGTACGGCCCTTTTTATGTTAAAATCCATTTTTACCAGAACACGTTAAGGAGCAAAAAATCCGATATGCCATAATTATTGCAGCAATAATTACTGTAAAATCATTGACTCACTCTAATAGATTAAATATAACTGTGAAAACTACTGGTATAATATTCTATGGTAAAAATGGTCTTCACGGTATGAATTACGAAAATGAAATGAAATTAATCATTTTTTCATCAACCAATATAGTTTATCTCTAATCAAAATTTTAATCACTGTAACCAAAAATAATATTTAAAAATGATATTTACAATTATTATGTTTTAAATAGTTACGGTGAGGAAATAAAACGGTGAAAAGTATTTAATTTATTCTCTTGCTATAAACCTCTAACACAAACAAAAAAATCATCACATTTTTTAAGCAATACACCGCAATTTTTTTAAAAATAAAACAAGCAGTGTGACAATAAAAGTGTGACAATAATTAAATTATTTTCCCTTTTTTCAGTCCTTTTGAAAAACGAGGATTAAAAAAAAATCTGTAATTATCTTATTCTTTCTTGTTCTTTGAAATGATTGTACTTCAAATCAAAATGATTCCTCGAGTATTAAATTAACTAGTTTTTAAATATTAAATCTAGTTATATTGATAAATAACACTGTTGATGCACTGTTGATAACACTGATAAATAATAAGTTTCATACTTCTCTTTCAATTCTTTTTGTAAGATGTCCCATTCCTTCTGAGCTTGACTCATTTTATCATTTATTTTATAAGATGATAATTCGTGCAATTCACTTAAAATTCTTGCATCTTGCTCTTGTTTCTGCAAAAAAAAGAACATCACTAATAAGATTAACTAACAGTTTTACTCTTGGTATGCCTTATTATTGTTATTATACACTGTAAAAAATACCGTAAAATTTACGGTTTTAAAATTGCGTCTGGATTTTTTGTTTAACCCGTAAATTTTGCATAGGTAAATCGATAGCCTCAACGGCTTTTTGTCATACAAAAAAAAAATTTTTACCGTAAAAACTACATAAGAATTCCGTAATCAAACTGGATTTTTTGTGAAACAAAATGAGTTTTTTTCAACAATAGCAAAAATGTCCCACCAGGCATTTACCGTATGGAAACAAGTTTTCTTTGTGAAAGTTACGACGTAAATCTGTCTTTGCTATAGATATGAATATTTTATATCGGCCAGTCATCTCTAGGATTCGAACCTGGGTCATTCCATTGCGAGGCGCGTGATAGGAAGAATTTCGGCTCATTATTGTATCAATTTGACAAAAGTCAAGTAGCAGTTTTATTTACATGATGTTTGAAATCACAAAGCAATTGCTAAAAAATAAAAGTAAGTATGGAAAATAATCGTAAAATAATTGGAGAAAATGTCAAGTTATATTACGGAACGCAGCACTGCATGGCAAAAACTAAAATTTCAACTGACGATTTTAATCCGTTTGTGATTAGGATTAAAAACGAAAAAAAAAACGGCTTTGAGCAGTTATACAAATTTTTTACAGTGTACTCACATCACGTTATTATTGTTATTATACAATAAATAAGACTATAGTTAAAAAGAAGTGCTCTAATAAGATTAGTTAATAATTTAACGGTTTCTAAGCTTTATTAGTGTTATTATACTGTACACCAAAGAAAGGGACCACCCTGAATAACTTTTAATCTAAAGATCAGATCGTGTCAAAAAGATCGTAAAAAAGTCGTATATTTAAAATTTAAACTATCAGGAACTATTCAACTGGTTTCGATCAAATTTCGTATTTTGCCATGTAAAATCACATACTTTAAAAAAATGTAAAAATGGTATACCTTACAATTTAAAACTTTTTTGACTATTATTATATAATAAAATGAAAAATAATAAATATTTATTATAATTTATTTTTTGCATAGTATTATCTTTAGACAAATGAATTTTAGAATTGTGTGCAAAAAGTTTTCAATTTGCTTTAAAAGTCTTTGAGATATATGGCAAAATACGATAACTCCTGAAATACGGGAAACTCCTGACCTAAGTATGGGGACCATATTTCGCCGATTGCTGCTACCCTCCATATCTTGGAGTTCAGAAATCCAAATTTGATGAAAAATAGGCATGTTTATTCAGAGCATGGACGTTTTTGTGTCCAATTTTGCAACTTAAAATATCGTCTGCTCTAATTAATTAGCATATTTGAGGTTCCATGATCGTACCATGATGATTGAGTCCAAGAACGTAAAAATCAAATCATTAGATTAAAAGATATTCAGGGTGGGTCCGTTTTTTTATGCTCTTTACACGTAAAGATATAATTACAATTTACCTAGTTAAAATTGAATTAAAACTCGAGGAATGCTTACTTCGAACATCAATAAAATATGAGTAATAAAACTCAGTCTAAATATATTGTTAAAATTATAAACAAAAGTTTAAAAAAAATCTTTAAAAGTTCTTAAAAAAAACTATTGCAATATCTTACTTTTATTTCTTTTTCTAAAACTGTTAGATCTAGCTGTAATTCTTCCATTTTTCTCTGCATTGATTGTACACTACTTAATTCTTCAGCTTCTTCTCTTGATGAAAGCACTAGAGTCTATAAAAAAAATATTTTCTGAAAATAATTTCAATAAAATAACACCACTTATGTAAAACTATGGCAGCAGTTGGAAGCAAATGTTTAAAGAATGAAGTCAATCCATAATGGACTGTATACAAAATTTAAAATTTAATTTATAGTTCATTACTATTTATAACTTTAGAAATTCTATGTTGTGACTAAAACATTTAGCAAATGCCAGGTAAACTACTTGAATCAAATATTTGAGTACTTTTAAAATGGGAAAACTGGATTTAATAGTGTTATTCAGAACGAAAATTAATTTCTATATATATATATATATATATATATATACTAGTATCACATTTCAATAAAATTTTGATCCCAAAATCCCATAATTTTTTAAACATTGTGGAAAAATGCACTCTAGAGCATATTTTTGCTTTACTTTTAACAAGATTCAAAAGTATGAATTAAGGGTGGTTATTACGTAACACCTTTCACAAGGTTAAGAAATTAATGTAAGCAATTAAGCAATGTTACAAAGTTTTAGTTACTTTTTCTCTTATTCTTTCAATAGTGTCATCAACGTCCCTGATAAATGAGTGAACCTGAGCAGCATCTACTAACTTTTGCCTGTACAATGACATATCTTCTTTTAAACTGATCCACCTATAAAGAAATGATAATTTCGTTTGGCAAAACGAAATCATTTTCATAGAAGAAAATAAATTAATTATCTTAAAATTTTAATTTTCATGTATGCATTCAGAAAAGATAGTGCATTATATAAAAACAATTGATTATGATTTTTGTCATCCATCAGAACATATTTTCATTATAAACTAAGATTTTTTGTACCTAAAATAACCGTCCAAGCGCCAGAGGGAAAGAGAAAAGAGGAAGACCTAAAACAAGATGGTTAAATAGAGTTGAAAAATGGGTAAAGGATTTGATGAAGGGAGCAAGATGGAGAAATATATAGCATCGAATGCGATGGTTTTGACTGTTAACCGGTGTCCTTGATGCTTTGTAAATAAAAATATTAGAAATTTTCTTTTTCAAATTCCGCTGAATTATTAGTCGGTACCTCAAAATGCATGATTTTATTTTAATGCTATTGAAAGAAAAACTAACTAATCTTTAGAAGAAGTGTTTAATTTTGCTATTTAATTTATTCTCACTCCATATAATTAAGTCATTCTTACATTCTACATATTGTCTTAACTTTTGAAAATGTTTTCTTAAAGTAAAATTTAATTAATAAATTCCTATATAGGCTCTTAGCTCATATGTCAAATTTATTATTTTAAAAAATTATCGCATTAAATTAATGTATTCCTTTATTTATGCTCTTTTGACTTGGCCCGGTTACATGTGTACACAAAATAAAATATAAGTCTTTGTTTTGAAAAAAATTACACGCGTAATGAAAAACACACAGCTAAAAAGAAAATGCAATAGCGGAAATGTTTTGAAAACTGTTAAAGTTTCATATTTCTGCTTGAATTATTACGATTTTATTTTTAAATTTAAACTTAATTGTAGATTAAATTTAAACAATACATAACAAAGCATTTTTTTATTAAATTATATTCACTAAATTAATTACTCAAATAATTTTGAGAAAAAACGTTATAGTATGGCTATAAAGAGTTTTTGATGAGAAAACAAATATTTGAATGATTATTCGATGTTACAAAGTTTTTATTGCTTTTATAAAATTACTTGATCGGCACTTAATTTAGGTGTGTGAAATTCAAATTTAAAATTAGTTTTGCTCCTAAAGCTTCGTATTTTTTTGAAAAGACATTTTCAATCTATTTTTTACCGAAATGTACAAGTTTGAAAACGTTATATAGGTTTATATAGTTAAGAAGTTTAAAAACGCTATTAGGGGGTCACGTAAATGCTGCGGCGAACTTTTCAGGGAGTTCGGGCAAATCATCAGGATTGAAATTGCATGTGATATCATGTTCGGAAATGTACGCGTACGTGGCTAAGGATCTATTATGACCTGTTCAAAAGCTCAAAAAGTAGCAGCACATAATAGGGAAAGCACACCTAGGGGCATATGACGACATTTATGCATGAGTTCCAATGCAATTTTATTCCTAATGATGTGCTTTAACTAACACAGAAGTTTGCGGCAACATTTACGCAGCTCCTGTTATATACAAAGCTTTTCATCTTGTACATTTCGACAAAAGATATTTAAGAAAACTGTAATTTGGAGAGGAAACCAATTGCAGATTTGCAATCAATCATATTAAAGCCATTTTAAAACAGCTGATCCGATTTTGGGTTTACGACTACAATTGTTCAACTCCGTAACCTTGTAGTTTTGGACTAATCTGGAAGACAAGGGAACTCCTGGATCAGGTCCCAAAGATGTATGATTTGTTATGGGAGAAAAGAGAACGTTGTGACTCTACAAATTTAACGTGCACCAGTCATCATTTATTACACGAGGAGTATTCGGCCGGCGGTAATCGAACCCATGACCCCTTAGATGGAAGCCTATTGGCCTACCAAGCAGGCTATCCTGGCCCCAATTAAAGCTACTTTTTTTTAACCGTCGTTGAACAGCCGAGCCAATTTAATGGGTTTACTACTACTAATGTTCATCTCCATAGCCTTGTAATTTTGAACCCAATCCGGAAGACAAGGGAACTCCTGGATCGAGTATTGGGGGAAATTCGCCTTTGTGGAGGACTTTTTGATGGAGCTAACCCGCATTTGCGCTACATGGAGAGGAAGGCCACAAGAACCTCCCACTGTTTGCCTGACGATAAGGGGACTCTAACCCATGATCCAAGCCAGATGCGGAATTCATATCGACTGGGATTCGAGCCCGGATCTCCTCATTGGAAGGCGAACGCTCTATCATCTGAACCATCACGGCTCATTCAAAGCTGTTGCCATATTAAAGTCTTAACATATTATTTACCTTTAATATCCTATTTAAGTTTGAGTATATTGTGCATTTTAAATCACACATTTAAGCCTTGGTATATTAAGCATTTTATTAGCAAATTTAAACTTAAGTGTTGAAATTATTTCAATAACATATATAAACCTTTATTTTAGCAAACAATAAACGCACCTGTCCCAAATCACTTCGTAGCGAGTATAAACTCCTTGCAAATCATCATTTCTTGAGAGTTTTGTAGCCAGATTTCTCATTTCTATGAGTGTTGCTTGATCTAATTTTGAATCCTAAGAAAAATCAAGTATTTATGAATATGTATATGTATTTGTTACTAAATTAAAGATATATTAAGGTTCGTTTCCTATAAAGATTTTTACACTACCGATTAAAAAAAATATTTAAAAAATTTTTCATAGAAAAAAGTAGGTTAGAGAATTGTTAAGAAATGTTTCTATCAGATTTTTTTATTAAATAGATAGCTCAAAGTAAACATTTTAAATTAAATAATTTTTCTTCAGATTTTTAAAAGAAAAGTATTTTTAGCAAAAGTACTAAAGAATACTTTTATTTCTGTGACCAGTCATAGAGAGAAGATAATTTTTTACTTTATTTCATAAAATTATTGCTCATATTTCACACGGAGAAAAATATTCTGCTAAATTACCGTTCTATAATAAAATTTCTGGTAAAAAAACAAACAAACATACTTCTACCAGTATGTACGGTATTTAAACCATTCATTTGATAATTTTTCCGTTCATATGGTATCGGTTTACCGGAAATTCTGTTGTTTAAAATTATAATTCCTAGTATCACACATTTAGTAAACATAACGAAACAGTAAATTTAACCAAATAAATGGTTTTTATGCTATGATAAAATTATCTAATTTTATCACATATTATGAAACTACATTTTAGCTTTAATTTTATTAAAATAATTACCAAAGCATTTCGGTAAAAATTATCGAGATTTTTGATGTTCCCATGGAGTTAGAAGCACGGTAAATTTTATCATATTCTATTAGTTTAAACCATACTTTCTTTCTCTGCGCACCAACAAATATTTCATTTTATAACCGGAATAAAAAGCTAACCCAAATGTGAGTTTACGACGACTAATATTCTATTCTGTAGCTTTGTAATTTTGAACCCAATCCAGAAGACAAGGGAACTTTTAGGTCAAGAATTAGGAGAAATATGCCTTTTTGGAGGGCTTTTTGATTGAACTAACCTACACTTGCGTTACATGGAGAGAAAAACCATGAAAACCTCTCATGGTTAGCCTGACGGCAAGTGTCCACCAACAAATATTTCATTTTATAACCATCATTGAACAGCCGACCAAATTTTGAATTTAAGACTACCGATGTTCAACTCCGCAGCCTTGAAATTTTAAGCCCAATTCAGAAAACAAGGGAACTCCTGGATCAAGTATCGGGAGAAATTTGCCTTTGTGAAGGAAGTTTCGATGGAACTAACCCGCATTTGCATTACAAAGAGAGGAAAACCACCAGAACCTCCTACGGTGAGCCTGACAAAGGAGACTTTGGCACATGATCCGTCTGCCAATGAGGATGTTTCCGTCAGCATTGTGGTCGGTGCGAGCCGGTAACTGAATTCGAATCGACCTGCCATCATTTTGATTTGGACCCGGCTCACCTCATTGGAAAGCTAGCACTCTATCCCCTGAGTCAGCACGACTCAACAACAAATATTAATAACATTCTACATCGGTCTTAAATTCCTGTAAAATTTACTCCCTCTAGTAATCAGTATACGTAAATTTTTTTTATTTAGAATGCTTATCAGCTTAAAGTGGTTGTTCCAAGTTAGAAGCATAATTTTAACTCGTATTTTCACTGCTCTACATTTTTGACGATTTAGCAATCATTGAGATTTGTTTCGCTCTATATGTGACTACCATTTCTCCATGGAATCACCTGATTTTTAATTGAATGAGGAATCTTAAATATTTGGCCAGAATAATTTCTTAGTTGTGTGTTATTTTAGTGCTCAGACTTTTCACTAATTTTATCTGGTTCTTTAAATAATTTGTACAGCATGAAAGGATAGTTCAGCGGTTAGGTTACTTGCTTGCTAGTCGGTTTTTATTCTCGACAATGAATGAGTACTCATTTACTCACACTCTTTTTATTGTACGTTGTATTATTTTCTAATTGAATGAGTAAATCTATAGGCAGCATTAAGCCTTGTGTTTGATGAAATAGAAATTGGTTAAAATCAAACTATAGATAAAAGTAATTTCTTAAAATGAAATGTTCACTCTTAGCATTTCTCAGGTAAAGATTTCGTCATCAATAAAGAAAATGTCCGATTACTCGAAAAGTATCAAAATTTTACCGTTTTCAATAATCAAGGTCATTAACGAAAGTTGCTGAAATTTTTTCCCTTCTGAAGATTTTTCACTTTTTCTTATTAAATAACGTTAGTTTTCTTAATAAGAATTCATAGTAGCATTCTATTGCATTTTATATAGTCATAACAACACTAATGCATCTCGCAATTATTTCATAATAACTCATCATCATCATTGGCACGACAGCCCTTTCTGATTCTGGGCCTTCCTCAGAAGCTATTCCCATTCTGCCCTTCTCTCAACAATTGATTTCCAGTTCTTTACTTTTAGGATGGCAAATTTCCCATCCACACAGTCTTTTCATCTCTTTTTGGATCTTCCTCTTGGCTTTTTATTGGAGGGGGTTCCATTAAAGACTCTTAATGCTGCTTATTCTGGGCTCATTCTCACTACATGCCCGGCCTATCTTATTCTACTTAGTTTAATAGATTTAATGATGTCATCACTATTAAAGATCTTATATATTTCAAAATTATATCTTTTTTTCTAGTTGTTGTTATCGAGGATAGCCTTCACCTCCTAGATAAGAGCAGGCCTAAGCACGGGTTACCATAAATATTCTTTAGTAGTCCAAACGTAATGACGTATTTCGTATTTTCAACCACTGCGCAGCTTAGTACCCTTAACGAAATGACATCTTTCTTATTTTTCATCTACTGCGCAGTTAACTTCGTTAGAACGGACTACTAAATTGATCCGTGCTGAGGCCTTCCTTCTTCTAGGAGGTGTTGGAATAGCGCCAAAGATGGTTCGTAGGACCTTCCTTTCGAAGGTTGCTAATAACTTTTCTTCCAGTTTTGTTAAAGTCCATGTCTCTGAAGCATAAATCAAAACTGACTTGATTAATACCTTATAAAGTAAAATCTTCGTCTTTCTTTTTATTTAGTGGGATTTCAATAATGATCTTAAACCATAGAAGCAGCGATTGGCTGCGATTATTCTTTTTCTGATTTCAGGATTAATGTCATTTTGATAGTTTACTTCTGATCCTAGATAAGTAAAATTTTTTACAGATTCAAATTTAAAAGAATCTACTTCAAACAATTTAGGGATGGTTTCCATTGTACCGCAATAAATATATTTTGTTTTCTCCACATTCACTCTTAAGTTCATTTTTCTAGCTGATTTTTCCAGTGCCAGAAAAGTTTCACTTAGTGCAGTCCTAGATCTTGCGATGATGTCTACATCATCGACGTATGCCAAAATCTGCACTTTCATGATAACTGAGAGAATCTGAATAAACACAGGTATTGCTAAGCCCATTTTTTTTATCTTCTTGGATATTAGCGTAGTGTTATTTTACTATCATTGGTTAATAATTGCAGTAATTTAAAAATAATATATAGTCCCTGTGGGAAATGTTGAATCTTACTTTACGTAATTCTGGGTTATTTCATATCCTGTATACCTCAATTTAATATCAGCTTTATTTTAGATAATTGCAAGGTTTGGAGCAATATAGTCATAAGCTACAATTTTTCAAAAATAACACTTTGCACCAATCTGTTTTTTAGCATAGTTAAGGTACAGATTGGTCCAAACTGTTTCTTTGAAAGGTATTTTAAAAGTTTTCAATCTTTTCACCAGATGGCAGCACAATGCATACAAACATCCATATTGACTACATGGAAATCGTGAGGTTTCCCCGAAAAAATGCTCTTCTGAACGATTTGAAAAAGTGTTTTATCATTATATTGCCCAAGACTTTCAATCCCATTACTTTGAGAGAAAATGATTATCTAATTAATATTTAATAAAGACTATATAAATTTGAAATACCGAATTAACGTCATCCAGTTTAGATTGAATAGCCATGCAATGTTCATAATCTTTCCCTACATCATTTGCTTGTATCATCAGCTCCTAGAAATATAAAAGTTTATAGTAGAACAATACATTTTAAACTAATAGCTGGTATTAATGTGAATTTGAGGGAAACATTTTTCAGACCTTCTCTTTGATCCAAGATTCAGCTTTTTCAAAAGATTCGTGAAGAGCTAGCATGTCTCTAGCTTGAGCCAAATCAGTTCCAACTTTTGCAGCATTCGTTTTAATTTCCTCCCAGTCTTCCAAAATGTATTGGAGTCTCGTTTTGGCTTCGTCAGTTGGACTAAATTCTCTACTTTGCTGGAATAAAAATCAAACATTTTTGGGTTATAAATAACTTTTTTTTACTATAAAACTCAATGCGATGCACTTTGTTTTTCTCCTTTCTTTAAAATGTTTAATCAAAAACATGCAAAATATGGTACTTCAATGAAATGTTTATGTATTGGTTGCCTAAAAAACTGCATCCATTTATTTCTGTATCAAAAATTCGTCGTAAAATAGATGAGCAATTAAGTTTCAAAGTAGCCGGATCAAGCTATTGGTCAAAAATGACATCACTAGGTGTGGGAAGGAAGATTGTAGATATCAGCTGGAACTTACTTTACTTTAGCTACAGATTTCGATTAAATTTCAAAGTAGCCGGATGACGCTATTGGTCGAAAATGACATCCCTACATGTGGAAAGGGCGATGGTAAGTATGCACTGGCGTTTACTTTACTTTAACTACAGATTTCGATTAAATTTCAAAATAGCCGGATCACTGTATTGGTTCAAAATAACATCACTATGTGTTTGATCAGTTGGCGTTTACTTTATTTTAGCTACAAGTTTCGTTTTCATGCTCTAGATTTATTTGATTCTTATAACTGTTTACACGATATCAGTATCACATTTTATTTTCCTGAAAGAAATTGTTACAAAATTTCGCGAATTATCAATAGTATTTGCATTTTGAACAATTTTAAAAATTAAATTTAATATTTATTAAGTCGTATGCATTATACATTATAACATTTGCAACAGAACCAAACAAATACTGTCTAAGTCGCAGTATTTATATTTATTACCTATCAGGTCTTAAAAAAAAACTTAATTTAAGTAAGTTGCACTGCTATTACTTTTCTTGCCATCAGTGCCTTTTTAAAAATCAGTAAATTGTATTATTATTTTCTCTTGTTCAGCCCTTTCTTTCATTTAAATAAAAGAATTTGAAATATTAGACTGAAAAGTAAGTTTGAAAATAATGTATTTATATATCTTGTGGATGTAACAAAACGTCTTAATGGTAATTATAAATTATTAAATAGAAATAATGAAAAATAAGAAATATAACTTGTTAAAAGGCAAAACTTGTTAAAGGCAGCAATTTTCCAAAATCGCATTAGCGCCAGCCTCTACATGCCATCTTCCTTCCACAAGTAGTGATGTCATTTTCAACCAATAACGTGGCCCGGTCACTTTGAAGTTAAATCACTCGTTGATGCGTCGAAATATCTTTTTAGCGCTTTTCCAAAATTGAACATTTAAGAGAGAAGTTTTGTTGATTGTGTACAAATGACGTAGGCGAATTGTTTGGAGAAGCTCATCAGAATTATAATTACGGCAATCAGGAATAGAGCCTGGAGAACGTTTCAATGCAACTGGAATAACATTGGATCCAAAGACTTAACAATCATACCAATAAAATATTCTGAGTGTGAGGGGCAGTGATTGCTTTGAAAGAAGATTGACTTTTATCAATCGAACTTGAGGGAATGTTGAATTAGTGTTTCTTTTGGGTACATAAGCATACACAACAGAAAGACATTCTGTTATGCATGCTAAATTACGCAATAAGATACTATTCCTTGCTTGAATAAAATATTATATTCATACGAAAGAGTGTTATTTTGGGTATTTCCCTAAAAAAACTAAGAAAGAAATCACTAGTTATTTTTAAATTAATGGCTAGTTGTGTAGTTTAGAGAGTAGAAGAAAAAACCACCCTGAATAAATTTTGATCAAAAGATCGGATCTTTACGTTCTAGGGCTCAATATAATTTTTTTAACTTCTAATTTTTAATAAATACGATTTAAAAAAAACTACTATTTAACGATTCTTTTGGGATAAAGGCAATTTAAAAAAAATATATATATTTTTTAGAAAATTTCATTTCTTATCAACTATTTGGCCAATTTCACTCATTTTTTTTTATTTTGCCAAATAAAATTACATTCTTTAAAACGATGTAAAAAATTGCTTACCTTATAGTTTTTTTCGACTATTAATAAAAATTAATAAATATTTACAAAAAGTTATTTTGTGCATTAAATTATCATGATATAAACGAATTTTGATGCCTTTTGTCATCCCTCTAAATTTTTTGGTCAATTTTTGGAAGCACACGCAAAACAAATAGAATGATAAATATCACAATAAATATAACTTACTTGAACAATCTGATTAATAAAAGATTCGTGAGCGTCAAGTTCAGATTGAACTGCAAGTTGTTTTTGTAAACATCTAATTTTTTCTTCATCACTTAGTTTATTGTAATCCTTTGAAACTAATCTCAATTTATTTTTCTTTTCTTGAATCCATGCTTCAGCCTAAAAAAATAAAAATGATTTCATAAATGATTTATTTTTTTCTGATAGGAAATATTTAAATATGCTCTAAACATAAACGAAACATATTATTCCCTGACTTTGTCTATTTGTCAAAAGTTTGTCAATTTTATCATCTGTATTATTTTTAAACTTTAATTCTAGAAAAGACCCAATGAGTTCTATTTTTTAAGATAAAATATTCAATAACGATATAAACATGGATGTGATGTTTTAGTTATGTTTAAATTACATAAACCAACATCAAGGTTAACAGATTAAATAAATAATACCCAGGAACTGAAGCGGTAAGATATTACTTAGTTAAAAACATCATTCGCTTCAAAAATATATCAATAGGACGAAATAGTCGACTCGCTTCGAGTGCTCAAAAACAGGCACCCTTTCTCAAGACTTGCCAGACGCGAATGAGAAGAAACTAAAGTGATTTAAAACATAAAACGTTGATGAAAAATAGAAAAACAAAGGCTAGAAACAAAAAATTTATATGATGTTAACAGTTTTGTTTCTCACCTTCATATTTTCAGTTTTTCATTGCCAACTTAGTTTATATTTTAAATCATTTTTGTTTCTTTTCATTCACATCTGGTAAGTCTTGAAAATGGGTGCCTGTTTTTGAACGCTTGAAACAGGTCGACAGTTTTTTCCCTATTTCTATAGTTTTGAAGTGAATGCAGTTTCTAATCAAGTAATAAAGGTTTGTTGATGTAAAATAGTAAACAGTAGTTTGTAAGCTGCTCATTCTACAATGTGAATTTACGGTGAGGAAACGATCCGAAATTATAATTTTAAATTAGTTTTTTTTAAATTACTACGAATAAAATTATTTTTATCGATTAGCATTATGTACCTCAATCGATGTATACAATCATACTTATAAATGTTTTACAGAAATATGTATAATTAATTTTATACGTCACATGCGAAAAAAAATTGTGGAATTACACGACAAAATTATTTGGATATCATATTCTTCAAACTTTTATGCAAAGTAAACATTCAGTACCAATTTTGAATGTATAATATTACAAATTGTCAACTAATTTCACAAATTAATAACATTCAATACCAAACATTTGACAGTTATAAAAACATTCAGTACCAATTTGAATACATAATTAATATAAAAAACTGCCTATGAACTTGCCAAGTTAATAAAATTAAGAATGTAAATTTTGTAGATTTATAACTATAACGTTTCATTTAAAAAAAATGGGAAGATAATTATAAAATAAGATTTCTTCTAAGAAGGCTTCATAATAAAAATATTCGTATAATTTTGAAATTTTTTTATATGATATTAATACAGTCCTTTAATTCTTTTTAAATAAATGTACCACGTGTTCTGAACAGGATGAAATATATACCGTCTACAGGCTTGTTTTAAAAAAAAAATTATATGAAATTAAAAGTTACTTTAAGAAAACTAAAAAAAAAAAATTACAAATTCTTGAAGAATAACAAAAAAACTATATCAATGTTGCTTCAAGAAGAAATGTTTATTTAATTTAAATGCTTACCTCTATTGTGTCTCGTTTGAACTTAGCATGCTGTAAGGCTTCCGAAAGACTTCTACATCTTTCGGAACTGAAGTCTATTAAGCGTCTTCGCCTATAAAAAACAATGAAAATTACCATTGTAGCACTCATAAGTACATATTAATTTCTATTTCACTCTTTAAAACGATATGATTATGCTTTAGGAAGATAATTATAGAATATAAAGTCATACTACAATGAAATCTCTTGGTAGCATGGTTAGTAGTATTGTAGTATAACAGGTAACATTACAGGTGTTTATTATAACAATTTACCTTTCAGATAGATCTTCAATTTTTTTATCAATTTTTTCTGCCTCTTCAACATGTTGCTTTATAAGAATTTCACCCTGTTCTTTCCAATGTGCAAACTATGGAAAAATCACAAACATGGTAAGTTTACTGTAAATCAATCCAATATATATGTCAAATTGTATGTCATTTAAAATAATTTAAGACTAGACGATAAATTCATCAAAAGTTGCTCTAAAATGAAACTTTAAAGTCCGTAAAAGTGGTACTAAAATAGTACCAAAAAGTTAACAAATGTGGCTCTAAAATTCGATAAGAAAAGTAATCAAAAGTGGCCTTAAAATCAGACGAAAAATTCAGCAAAAGTAGTTTAAAAATTAGACGAAGAGTCAGCAAAAGTAGCTTTAAAAAGAATATTTTAAAAACTAAATGGAAACATAGAAATTAAACAGTTTTTACAAATCAACAAAAAATAATGATGCAGTTTGAATAATCTTCATCTACAATAGATAATTCTCAAAAGAGTCAAGGAATTAGAAATGAAGGAAAAATTAATTTCTTTCAAACTGTTTCTTTAGTTTAGATCGGAAAATAAGGGGAATAGTTTCGTAGTAATGCTAAAAATTAGTTTATTACATACTTAGCTCATAATTTGTAGGTTTTCTTAATAAAATTCAAAAAGAATTTTGGTTTTCAGAAATGGATTATTTAATAATACAATTAAATAATATTGTAATGATCTTTTGAATAAGAATTTCTTATCATAAAAAGCAGTGGTTTTTCCTTCCAGATTTAAGTTTAACAAATATTTTTTTGTTTGTTATGGATTATTAAATTTTATATTCTATGTAATTGTTAATTTTTTAGTACGGGCGAAACTTTCTCCTTTGTACTATTTTACATGTTTCGTTGTGCACTTTTTCTTAAATTAATGTTTTGGAAAGTACTTAGCCATGCATGATTGTTTTTATTTTTGAAAATGAATATATAACGTAATGAGCTGTACTGGCTAATGATATTGGTTAATTTTGATATGAAAATTAAAAAGCCTCAGTTTTATTTTGCAATTGATCTGTACTTTTACGAGAGAAAAAATAATTTAATGAATGAATTCAACAACGAAGAAAAAATATTTTATTACATTCTTTCAGAATTTAGATTTATTTTGATTTAAAACAGTAAACAACAGAAAACGAAAAATTTAGAAATTTTTAAGAATGAGGAAGAAAAACTCCAAAGTATAAAATGAGATAAATAGAGGTTAAATACAAGCATAAAATGGTTGTAAAAACTGAAGACTTAGTTCGAAAAAAAAACGACTAGTGGTCTGGTTTTGGAAAAAATTTACATTTTTATTTGCAGTTGAAATTTGAAATTGGATCAATTAATACTCTACCTTTTCTTCTTGAGTTTCCATAAGCTTCTGAAATTCTAAATGTTTCTTCAAATCATCCGATATATCTTCGACTATTTCTTTTCTTTCACTCCCACATAATTGAACCTAATAAAAAATTGATAGAAGCAATTAATTTTCCATAATTTGTTTGATGGTCATAATATTAATCTCATTCAAAATATTTGTAAAAACATTTTGCTTATTTTTAACATTTTTGCTAAAATGATCAAAATCTATAACGTAACATTCGTAATTGACTATATATCAATTTCTAATCAGTGTTTAGGGGTTAGTTTATTATAACGGGAAAATTTAATTATTTGAATAGATTAATATATTTGTTTAAATCTGCTTTATTTTTCAGTTTACACAAATATGAAATTCTAGTATTTTTTAAAAAAATTACTTCTACATAAAGATTCAGATATTGATTTTAAGCGTCTTAGAATTATTTGTATTTTAATTTTATTCTAAACATAATTTTATTTTATTTAGCTTTTAGCAAATATTTATTTTCAATATAATATTTTTATAATGGCTTTCAATTATTAAAAACATAAAGTATATATTTTAGTTTTCGCATAGTTTTTTTATCACATGAAGTAATTTATAGATACAAAAGAGTCATAATAGCATTAATAAATGTTTAACTAAGAGAAAAAAGAACTTTTTCTTAAAAAATAAAATTTTAAGAAAACGGTATTTTTCAGCTTTCCTTAACTACTCAAAAGTTCTATATTTACCTCCTTTTGGGCTATAGCCGCTTGAATTTGTTTTGCATCGTTGAAGAAAAGGACTACACCCTTCTTTTGCTGAATGAGTGTAGATCGCCTGTTATAAGCATCTCGAACTTTAATGCAAATATCGGATAAAGATTTTAACTTCTCATCAACCTAAGAGTGAAAATGCAGAAATTTATAACATTTCTTCAGAATTTTTTTTTTACTTTTCATAGAATTTTTCATGGATATACTGCAAAAAGTGACCACATTAATAAGTGACAAATGTGAGGTTAAGTATATAATTTGTAAAAACGTTTTTTACTTTCTTTAGGGAAAAACCTCAAGACAATATATAAATGTAATCTAAAAAAATTTAGCAAACATTCTTGTATTACTTCTTTGTCGAAATTTTCTTTCTTAATTCATTATTTAAAAAGAAACACTTTCACACATTCACAGCCTATTCTAAAAATAGATTAAAGAATGTAGAGCTAACAATTTTAAGGTTTTCCTTTAGACAAACGTGAGAACCTTGAAAATTCCTATACCAATCTTTGACCAAATTACAATTGATAGTTACTTTAAGAAAACTAAAANTATATATATATATATATACTGTTTAAATTAAATATATTATCTCATTTTTGGCAATCATTTTTTGCATGCCTAGGAAAATATAAATTAAGACATACTTTCATGCATTTATACTTTTTATGATTTGTTTCTCGTTTCGTAAAATTCAAACAGGAACATAGTTCAACCAAATACATCTTTATACCCAATGTTTTATCAAAGTGTTTATAAGAGTTAAGAGATTTTATTACTAATTCTGTTTCAAAATATCAATTGCATGTGGAAACCTGAGGATATATATGTGGAAATCTGTGGATTTCTGAAAGCGGTAACATTTTTCAATGCATGTCCCATCCTGCTTGATGAGCTTTTCTGTGATAAAAATCCTACATTGAAAATTTTTTCAAACGTCTACGGACTTCTTGTATCGTTAAAAAATTTGAATTAGTTCGCTAAAAAGCAGAAATATCATTTTGAAAAGATATCAGTAGCTTTCGGAATAAAAAAAATTTTCAGATTTGAAATTCCTACACTCGCATTAGGTAAGATCAAGTACTTGTAGAAACGCAACAAAAAAATTGTTCCTCAGTGAGACTAGCGTACGGTTCCCTCTGATCAAGTTATACTTTTTCCACAATACTAATTGATTTTCCCCAATAAAAATGACATGACTTTTCTAAGCTCATACTTGTTGACAAAAAAAGTTACTTACTTGAGATTGGAACATATCGGATGTCTTCAACAAATCACCCTCTTGATTTAATTCGTCATACCGTGCTAAGCGGGATTCTATTTCATCGCCTAAAAGTATGTGTTCCTTCTCCAGCTGTTGAAGATCTCTGGACAAAATTCCTGAATCTAAATCGAGACATACTGATTTCGCCCAGGTTTCTTCTTCTCTTACCTAAGAAATTAAAATAATTAAGACATTTCCGATGCTTTAAAATCTCAAGAAAAATTTAAAAAAGCACTTTTAAAAAGCACACACATAGTTAGATTACTGTTGGATACTTACAAGTATTCTCTATCTACTTTAACTTAATGAAACTGGTTTTGATTATGAACAGAGAAAGCGATCAAATAAATTAAGTTAAAAAAGCACTTTTAAAAGACACACACATTAGATAGATTATTGTTGGATACGTACAAGTATTCTTTATCTACTTTCGCTTAAAGAAACTGGTTTGGATCATGAACAGAGAAGGCGATCAAATATATAGGACGGGTAGCAAGGGGCGGTGCAGAGTATCGGTCCAGCTGTGTTTCAAATATTTACTTGAGGTGGCAGCAAGTATTAACATTTTTGAGTCAGTAAATATTTTTCATTCTGAGTTTAGTCACTGATAAAGGCTCTTCTTTATCGAACCGAAATTATAGTAAGCGCACCGGACAAAAAATTAGTCACCCTTGGAGAAATCATGAAAAACATCATTTAATAGAAAATAACACCGCCTTTGGATTCGATAACAGCCTGGAATCGGTTAGGAAGTGAGTGCACAAGGTTTTGGAGGTACGTCGAATCCAGTTCAAGCCACTCGCTAAGGATTTGATCGCGCAAATCCACCAAATTGCGAGGATGCTGATTTCGGCGTTTTACACGTTATTCCAACATGTCCCACAAATTTTCAATGGAGTTGAAGTCAGTTGATTTTACAGGTCAGTCGAGATTTATTGAGTGTCTGAGGGCTCATAAAACTAGTCATATGCTCTTCCAGTCCGATGAACTTTGTTGTTGTCATATTGAAAAATAGAGGTATCGACAACACACTCTTCATGAAGATGTTAACTGAAAGGCTATATATGATCATCCAGAATGTTAAAATAAACAAGTTGGTTCATGTTAGTGGCCACCTCAATGAGGGGGCCCAATCCATAATAAGAAAAATGCACTCAAAATAAGACTGACCCATCTTCGGCTTGAATCTGACCTAGCACACAATCCGGATGAAATGCTTCATCTGCTCTCCGTTGCACTGGAGGACGTGTGTCTTTTGAATAAAGGCAAAAACGTGATTCATCAGACCATATTACATTCCACCAGTCAGAAACTGTCCTCGTTCGGTGACTTCTAGCCCACTGAAGTCGCGCAGCTTTAGTGAGCAATGGCCTCTTACGCGATGTTCGATTCCAAATGTTCATTGCATGCAGTTTTAGTTGCAATGCTCTCTCCCTAACAGGTTAGGATGGACCTTCATTTACAAACTGAAGGAATTCCTGGCAGGTTTTGAAGTGATTTTGATTGACAAGTCGGGAAGCACGTCTCCGTCCCCTTTCAAGCAGGATCTTTTTCCGGCCACAATTCTGACGTCGTCCTTCGTGACCACGTGTATTACACCACTGCTTGTAGACGCGTTGAACAGTCAGCATCGAAACACCAACAAATCCAGCAACTTCATTCACCGTATGACCATTGGCATGGCCAAACACAATTGCTCGTTTTTGCCATTCGATCACATCCTTACACTTATCCATATTTACACACAATTTCCGCTTCAAACAAAAATATCTCACTGATAGCTACTTGCCTTTGATCACGTTGAAGCAGTGTGCACGCAATTGAGCACGTCACTTGAGCACTGCATCATCTAACGAAATCAAACCATACATCGGTGCTTGCGAACTAGGGTGACTAATTTTTTGTCCGGTGAGCTTATGTTGGTTTATTTGTTATTGTGTGTGCGTTTTTCTCGTTGCGTAGTATTCAAAATTTTCTTTCGATATAAAATATACAAAGTGAAGTAAATTGTAAACAATTCCGGATCAATTTATCGTAAAAAGTAGTGGCATCCTGAGTGCAGTATCCGTAAAATTCATTTTTACGGTAAAATTTTATACCGTTATTTAACAGAAATATTGATTTAATTTCAGTTCCGTGATTTTATAATATTATTGCTCTAAAATTACGGTAAATCAAATTTTTTGCTCTGTAAAACTTTACGGTTAAAAAGTGCTTGTTATCTGAAATTTTTTTTACTGTGAAATTATTTTTTAAAACAATTTATTGACAACACATTTAGTTGTCACAAGTGTTAACATTATGTTTTGGAACGAAATATTTGGTAAATTTGACATAAATGATTTTATGAAATGAATTTAATTAAATAATTACAGTAGAGTTTCGATAATTCGAGGTGGACGGGGCAGAGCCAACCTTGAACTTTCGAAAAATCGAATTATCGAAAACTTAAAATTAAATAAATGGAAACAAAGAAATGTTTAAATTTCAGTATTTAATTGAAAAATATATTATAACATAATTTTTTTAATGTTTGTAATGTATCATTGTCTCCGATTACCCCCAGATCAAACCGTTTCATTGCAAAGAAAAAAGCTCAGGGTTCTCATAGATCTAACGTTCAAGTAAGTTAATGTTAAATTCTTTTACAGGGGTCTGTCTTGGTTTTTTTGAGAGGTAACTTTTTTGTGAAAATTTTGACATAATTTGTGAAAAATTAAAAATTATATTAAAAAATCAACACAAAAATATGGTAAAGATATTGTTTCTTAAGGGATACAAAAATAAAATTTTAAGAAAAAGTACTTTGTGAAACTACCGTCTTTCCTAAAGTTGAATTTGTGAAGGTACCGCTAAACGGTAGTAAATTCGGCCTGGACAGACCCCTGCTATCTTTATTTTTTGGTGTAACTGTATTTTATTTTGAAGGCATGCTTAAATGCAATTAAATAAAATTAATAACTCAAAATAATCTAAAATGTAAACAATCAGCGCCCCCCCAGAGGGCCTCGGTAAAATTATCAAACGTTGGCAGGTCCGCGGTGATAAAAACGTTGCGGAACACTGCATTAGATCACCGGGATACAATTACTGCATTGCACCAAGTTACACTATTCATTATATTACCGCACCAGGTTAATTTTACTTTAAAATAATTGTCTAATGTTTTTTGCTTAAACACACTGTTCACATGATGACTGGGGTACATTTACTGCATTACACCAAGTTGCAATATTCATTATATTAATGCAACGGGTTAATTGTACTTGAAAATAGTTGTCTAATGTTTTTTGCTTAAACACACTGCTAACATGATGACCGGGGTACATTTACTGCATTACACCAAGTAACAATATTCAGTATATTACTGACCCAGGTTAATTATTCCTTAAAATTGTTAACTGTACTTAATTGCCTAATATTTTACATGTAAACACACTGTTAACAGGATGACTGGTGTACATTTAATGTATTGCACCAAGTAACAATATCCAGTATATTACTGGACCAGGTTAATTGTACTTTAAAATAATTGTCTAATATTTTTTTCTCAAACACACTATTAACATTCTTCAGTATTTAATACGCAAATATGTTTTTCAACATTCAGTACTAGTAATCGTCGTAAAACCAAGCGTAGTAATCATTCTACGTGTTGCGTGTGCGTTGGTCATTGCTTGGGAGCAAGACTGATTTTTTTCCCCACTAGCTCGGGTTTATGGGAGACTCGAACAATCGAGACTAAAATTGAGTCGCTCAGAAGCCAATGCGGTTAAGTCCAAAACACAAAAATTGAGAAAATTAATGTTTTTTGATACATTAGTTTTTGAAATTCTTGGTTTATTAATTTAATTAGAAAAGTGCATAAAATCTTTTTTCGAGGTGCAAACTCTGCAAAAAAACAAGATATGCACAGGATGTGTAAATAAAAACGTAAGTATTTATTGAAATAATGACAGTATCTTAAAAATTTTAGGACTTATACCTTTTGGCAGCTGAAAAAGATAAGAAATATATGTAAAAATAATAAAATAACATTTATTGTCACAAGTTTTATGTTTATTCATCATAACAAACATCATCTTCTTCCGAGTTATTTAAATGTAAATCTTGATCTCCACGTGTTGTCCTTAATGTCCTGTAAAAGTCGTGCTTAATTGGAGGTATATACTAACTAAAACTAAAAATACCACATTTTAAAAAAATACTACGAAAGATACCATACCCCTTTTTTTTGGTGAAAAAAGTCTACCGTAGTATTAAAAATACTACGTCTGGCAACCCTGAGTTACTATGAATTTCTTGTTTTTCAGTGTTACCAACAAATATCGAAAGAAGAAGAAGAATTTAATTTTTATTTCAAAGTTTATGTAAAAAAATATTGTTAAAAGGTGGACTTATTCACAATGGCTTCTGAAATTATTATACAATATATTCAGAAGATATTAAAAAAAGGGCTGTATAACCTAGAAAAAAGTAACCAACGAGCAAATCCTTTAATAACTAAGAAGATTATTATTTATTTCATCAAAATTTCCAAAAATCAGAAAATATCAAAAAATGAACTTAACCGCATTGGCTTCTGAGCGGCCCAATTATCGAGACTCTACTGTAGTATTTAGCATAAAAAACATACTTGGAATGAAATACTTACGTCAATAAATATTCATAAAGTAAATTATCGCACTTACTGTTGCTAAAAATTTGTGAACTTGCTGAGCTACTAGCAGTTGATCTTTCCTCGCTGATACTCTCTGTTGCAAAAGGTTCCAATTTTCAACAACAAGTGCGAGCTGCATCTGAATGTGTTCCTCATTTCCTCCGGGATACACTTCTTGCAATCTTTGACTATCTTTTAAAAGTATGTGAACCTAATATAAATGAATAAACTTAGTTATACAGCTAATACAATAAGTAATCAGAAACCAATCTAATAATCATTAATTAAATTTTTTTCAGGATTATTGCATTGCTCTACTCGATTAATTCACAAATCCGCAACATATTAAAGCAATTTTACATCAAAAAACGTGATTTACCTACTACTCTATGCGAAAAACATTAACCTTCGGTTTAAATATTTCAGAAAAGTGAGATACCAAGGTACCACGAATTGAGTTATTGCCATACCAACAGAAAAAAATCCAAATACTTTTAAGAGGAATATTAAAATTAAAATCCAAATACTTTTAAGAGGAATATTAAAATTAAAATCCAAATACTTTTAAAAATCTAAATACTTTTAAGAGCTAATATACTATAATATACTAAATACTATATCAAAAAACGTGATTTACCAACTACTTTATGAGGAAAACACTAATTATCGGTTTAAATATCTCAGAAAAGTGAGATAATAAGGTACCAAGAATTGAGTTATCACCATACCAACAGCAAAAAATCCAAATACTTTTAAGAGGAATCTTAAAATTAAAATCCAAATACTTTCAGAAATCTAAATACTTTTAAGAGGAACGCTACATCTAAAAACGTGATTTGCCTACTACTTTATGAGGAAAACACTAATCATCAGTTTAAATATCTCAGAAAAGTGAGATACCAAGGTACCAAGAATTGAGTTATCACCATACCAACAGAAAAAAATCCAAACTGGTAAAATAATTCTGCTTCTCAGGGGGTGTTACTTTAGGGGGGGGGGCAGAATTGGCAGAATGATTTCTGGAGTGACAGTGATATATGATAGAGGGCCAACTACAACTGTGCATCAACACATTGACAAGTCAAACACATGTAACCTTACGGCAACCTTGCTTCAGAATTTTCCTTTTATTGTCACGAAAATGTTTGTATTAAAAACCTTTTTTCAATAAAGTAAAAATATTGCAGTTTCAAACCTTTCATTCTAAAAGGATTAAAAATTATTTTTTAAAGCTTTCTTAAAAAGTATTGTCACTTAGGGAAAATGGTCACTTTGGTCCATAATGACGTTTTTGCTGACGTCACACTAGTGATAGGATCAAATTGCATTGTCCATTAAAATTTCATGACAAGGTGGATTTTAGTCGAGTATGAAAGAGTTTGCGAAAAGAAACCTTTTAATTACCTAGATTTAAGATTATTTTCACCTCGAGACTAGCTTTATTCAAGGATTTTTACACGGTTAAAAACTCTAAGTCAACCTCGATTTAAAGTTTTTATATCGAAGGTTGCTTTCCAAGGCTTTGGATTAGGATAATGTGCGTAGAATAGAGCAGATTGTCACAGACCTCGTTTTGAGGTTAGAAGGTTTAAACGGAAACCGCATAAAAAATATTTTTAGATTTACACTCTAGGTGTCAAGTTGGATTAGGATAATTAGATTACATCAAGGTGGATTTTAGCTGAGTATGAAAGAGTTTGCGAAACGAAACCTTTTAATTACCTAGATTTAAGATTATTTTCACCTCGAGACTAGCTTTATTCAAGGATTTTTACACGGTTAAAAACTCTAAGTCAACCTTGATTTAAGGTTTTTATATGGAAGGTTGTTTTCCAAGGCTTTGGATTAGGATAATGGGCGTGGAACAGAGCAGATTGTCACAGACCTCGTTTTGAGGTTAGAAGGTTTAAACGGAAACCGCATAAAAAATATTTTTAGATTTACACTCTAGGTGTCAAGTTGGATTAGGATAATTAGGTTACGTCAAGGTGGATTTTAGCTGAGTATGAAAGAGTTTGCGAAAAGAAACCTTTTAATTACCTAGATTTAAGATTATTTTCACCTCGAGACTAGCTTTATTCAAGGATTTTTAAACGGTTAAAAACTCTAAGTCAACCTCGATTTAAGGTTTTTATATCGAAGGTTGTTTTCCAAGGCTTTGGATCAGGATAATGTGCGTAGAATAGAGCAGATTGTCACAGACCTCGTTTTAAGGTTAGAAGGTTTAAGCGGAAACCGTATAAAAAATCTTTTTAGGTTTACACTGAAAGGTTTTTGCTGAGGGAAAATAAACCTTATTTCGCTATCTGGGAAATGATCCAAGGATAACTGAACAATGTAAGCATTAGTTTCGAATTTTGATTGTGGTTCGAGGTTTGCGATCTAACTTCTTTTTTTTCGTTTTATTGCGAAATATCCAGAATAAACTTTCTAAATATTAATCTAGATTAACTAAAAATTACAATAATTAGTATATGCTTACAAGATAATCGGGATCAACTTACTTCAAACTTCGTAAATTTTTAAGATATTCTAATCGAACTTATTTGATTAGTCGCCAAATACAATTTATTACAAAATTATGAAGAAAAAAAAAGTTGCCTTTTTTCCGCGCATACGCAATATAAAAGAACTACTTTAATTTCATAAATATTGCTCAGCTTATTTTTCAAATTTTAAAGAAAAAATTTTTAAATTAATTTTTAATTGCGCTAAAAATTTTGCTAAATTTTATTGAATGTTTTTAAAGTTATAGCAAAAAACGTAAGACAAAAAAATAAGATTTTTATGAAAATGTCCATATCTCCATAAATATTTAAGCTACGCTTACGAAATTTCATGCAATTATTGCATATAATAACCAAAATGATTTTTAAAAGTTACAAATTTATTGCAACATATTTTGGCATAGGGTGTTCAAAACAACTATTTTCCGTTTTCAATTTATTGTCGGTCTTTCAAACCTTTAAAACCTCAGGTTTCTTTCACAATTATTTAAAAATAAAGGAAATCGCTTAGTTAAGTTACAGTATACCAATATACTAGAACCAACACCTGCTAGAAAAGAGAAGACCACCGTACGGGTTACCAGAAATGAGAAATCTGATTCTTAAGTAGTCCGAACGTTGTGACATCTTTCTTATTTTCCCCAATTGCGCAATTTCTGCTCATTATGTCGGACTACTAAATTGATCCATGAGAAAGCTTTTTCTCTTTAAAGAGATGGTGCTAGAACTATGTAGTCCAAAAGTTGTGACATCTTTCTTATTTTCCCAAATTGCGCAATTTCTGCGCATTATGTCGGACTACTCTAATTGATCCATACGAAAGCTTTCTCTCCTTTAGGAGATGTTTCTAGAACTATGTAGTACAAACGTTGTGACCTCTTCCTTATTTTCCCCCAATTGCGCAATTTCTGCTCATTATGTCGGACTACTAGATTGATCCGTGAGAAAGTTTTCTCTCTTCTAGGAGATGTTGCTAGAACTCACATTAAACTAAAGTATATTGTAACATTACTCATTCATCTTAAAGTTTGTGACAGCTGTTATCTCATAAAACCATAAAATTTTAACAACGTTGATTCGTTGAAATTTACTATGGATTTCAATGAGTCGGATCATAATTCAAGTTATTGAGTATATATAAAAACTTTTTGCAACTAAAAACGTGATGATCATTAAAAAATCTTTTAGAGCAGCACTTCATCGATTTTAATATCCTATATTGATAAACTAACTTGTGCTTCAATTCCTAAAAGTTCATTTTCAACATTATCGTGCTTTTTAAGTAAATCTTGAACTTGATTAAGGTTGTTTCCAAGTTCTTGTGGTATTGTTCGATAATGTCCATGAATTCTAGATAATATGTCTGTAACGTCACGGTGGTAACGATGTATTTCTGACGCTGCTTCCATTTTGAAAGATCTTGCTTCGATGCTTTCAACAAGTTCTAACCATCGTGCACTGTAAAGAACAAATCATTTTAACCATTAAAATTTCGTTTTATAAATAAATTATAACAAAACTTGCCAACTACTCTAAGCTGAAAAAATTGTGGTGTAATATCTCTTCAAATACGATGGTGAGGCCCCAAAAACAATTGTACAAAGAACACTTTATTTCGGGTCATTGAGGTCATTGTACGATTTAAAGTGTGTGATTTAAATTTAAAGATTTAAAATTGAATAATTATACCCCAAAATATCTTCTTTTCTCACTATATGGAATACATTTTCGTTTCCGAAAACACCATTGGCGGGATTTTAGTATCAAAATTTCAATAAATGATGAGTACAATATCGCAAGTAATTTATTTGCAATCTGGAATGAGCTGGCGATATATATGTTATTGCGATTAACCGAAATTGGTGATTGTTGACTTCTACCAGTGAATGTTGACAAATGTCAGTCTGAAATGTATACTGGGTCTAGTTAAGTGCCACTGGGTCTAGTTAAGCGCCATGGTATACATTTACCAGGTATGCCCTACATCAATGCATTTTTAAGATCAAGTGCCACTGCCTTGTATGCATTTAACCGGTGCTCCAAACACTGATGCTTCCCCAAATTTATCCTCAGCATAATTAAAGTATCGAATAAAAATAATGATATCAACGAATAAATTAATACAAAATCGGATATAACAAATATTTCGGACATTCACGAAATCGACGATGTGATTGTTGACATTCACCGTTGAAAGTCGACATTCTTTCGATTTCAGCCATTCACGGTATTATATATCATAATATTTTTTAGTAAAATGACTGCTTTAGTATTTCTGATATATTATTAAAAAATTTTTAAAAAAAATTGCTGACAAAAGAAAATTTTTTTTCCACACTCAGCTGTATTGATCTTAAATATTTATAAAAAAATAATTTTCCCTTAAGTGCCAAGTAGCACTGAATGTTATTATCCAATCTCAAAGTTATAGTAAATGATTACTGAGAATTTCCATTCTAGTTGGTTACTGAGTTCAAAATCTTTCTAAAATTCGGACCTCCCTTTTTATAAACTCTTAAAAATCAAACCGAAATGATTAAAATATATTCATTTATCTCCCAAGAAGCAATACACAAGTCTTCATAATATATGCTCTGATTTTAGAATATATGATAATAGCAAGCAATTCAATCAATACAAAAAAATTTAAAAAATAATAGCAAACCTTAAGTAATCCAAACTCTCCCTTACATCTGTGACAAAGTAACAATTACTATTTATCAGTCTTTTTGCAAACTCCTCATATTGCATAACTCGTTTTGAGCCACTTTCCACACGAGTTTTAAAAAATTCAAAGTTTTGGTTCAGTACCTGCAGATTAAATAATTTATATTACTTACAATATTGTGAAAGCATTGAAGCATATAAAGCATTAAAAATAAAATAATTCGCAAATATTTTTAAACAATTATTTAAATTACGAGAATTCAAGTCATGGCTAAAATGCTATGAAATTTGAGAATATTAATAGGAAAGAACACTAATTAAATTTATGTTAGACGGGAATTCATATCTTCGTCGAAATACCATAAATTTTGAGAATATTAATCATTATGAACTCGAATTAAATTTATACTAGGCAAACTTTATCATCACGTCAAGCACAAAAAGTAGTACATAAAAGTAAATAATTTAAACCACTGTTTATGGTAATTATTTATTACTTTTTATTATTATAATTATTATTATTATAATTATTATGATTATAATTATTATAATTATTATGATTATGATTATTATTATTATAATTATTATTATTATGATTATTATTATTATAATCATTATCATTTATTATTATAATTATTATCACTTATTATTATAATAATTATCATTTATTATTATAATTATTTATTAATTATTTAATTGTTATCTTACCATTTTCAACCAAAACAGTCAGATAACAATAAAAAAGATGGTATTCAAACTCTTAACTGTGAGAAAAATCGTTTATTGACTGTTTTCTCCTAATACATAAAAAAAAATTCTATTTGAGAATAGAATTTAATAATAATTTTTATGCAAAGATTAACTGCTTTCATATTTTACTAATATTAGTAACTGAAGCTGTCATTGTTTGCAGTAAACTTTTCCACCAACAGAAACATCATAAATTATGAATTAATTTCAATAAATTCAATTCGATTAAATTAAATTAAGTATGCAATAAAAATTCAATTTTTATTTACCAAAACGTGCTCATAATCTTCACCATAATCTTCTGATGCGGCTATTTCTATTTGTTCAGCAATCCATTCCTTTAGCTCTTCTGTTTCATTTTCAAATTCATATCGGCTTTTGGATTCCAATAATTTTTGCCTTTTCACAGTACACAATTTTTGAAGGTTTTTCATTTCTTGATTGATAACATCCTGAAATTTGGTTAAGTTTTAAATAAAATGCCTATATAAGTTGTATTAGTATGTAAGTGAAATGCATGCAAGATATATAAGTGTGTATGACAGTAAAATTAATTATGGCCTAATTGCACATGCAATGACGACTTGTAAGCTTAATCAAAACCAGAAAAAATTCAATCTAGTAATATTGTTAGTATGAAAAACTAAGTTTTATGAATAAAAAGATTTCATTTACAGTTTGTTTTAAGTTTTTATATTCTATTTTTCTTCCTTCTTGCCATGACACGTTTACATGGAGTTACAAGAAACCGTGTATGGTTGTTAGAATAAGGCTTCTCTTATATAGCACATATAAGGACAATTATTTATTAAATTCTACAGCCTATATTCTATAGCTTGTAGTCACATTGGGGTTCGATGTAGATGTTTCATACAAATCTTTCTGCATTGATTCATGACTTAAAATAGTCATATATAAATAATTTCTGCTGCATAAATAATTATTTAACAAAAATTGTGTCTCAAACAAAATTGTGGTCGAAATTTCCCGCAAAGTCGAAAGATTCCATCTCGAAATTTTCCCACAAATCCAGTCGTTAATTTCCCGCAAATCTCAAGATTCAGCATTTAATGAAACAAAATGAATAGATTTTAACATGCAAAGAATGCTGTATACATAAAGCACTTGGAATATTTTAAGAACAGTAATAGTTTAGAATAAGTTTAAAATTTGCATTCACGCATTAAATGTTAAGACTATCATTATAAATTTTGAAGTTGATTTTACCATTCTATTCTTTATAATCTTGGAATCTGGATGATTTGATTCAATTAAATTTTCTGCCTGATTTCCAAGTTCATCGACTAATCCCTTGTACGAATCAATTTCCAACTCCAATGCCTGTAAATTGAAACCATCAATGAAACAGAAAGCACTTTACAATAAAAATTGAAAAAACAATTGGAAAGATTAATTTTTATAAACTCGTTTGTAAGCATCAAACATGTATAAATCAAAACATGCATAAAATCAAACTAAAGTATTATTTAGAACAAAAAACTAATTTATTGAATAGAATCAGAATACACGAATCTGTTTAAATTAGGTGAGTTTTTGCAATTAAAATTATAAGAATAATATTGCGAAGATCTACAATAATTAGTAAAAATACTAAAACTACTGAAGATTCTATTTGTAAGTCTACTGAAACTTTTGAAGATACTATTTGTAAATCTGCAGAAACTACTGAGGATACTATTTGCAAGTCTACTGAAACTACTGAAGATACTATTTGTAAGTCTATGGAAACTACTGAATATACTATTTGTAAGCAGGGCTGACAACTTCTACGCTTTTTGTAAAAGTTTTTTCTAGTGGCATCCATGTTTATGTTTCAATGTTTTATCTTCATTTAATTCATTGAAAATTATTTTCCGCAACACTGTATATAAATGATTTAAAAGTTGATATACAACACCAATTTGATCCAGCTTTTTCATGGTAAGGATTTTAAAATGTTGGCGAAATTACCAAAAATTCTAAGAGCTATGGTGTTTAAATGCCTACCACTCTAAAATATCTCGCAAAAAGCGTAGTAATTGGCAGGCCTGTTTTATAAGTCTACTGAAACTACTGAAGATACTATTTGTAAGCAGGGCTGCCAACTTCCTACGCTTTTTGTAAGAGTCAAAAAGTGTAGTAATTAGCAAACCTGTTTGTAAGTCTGCTAAAACTACTGAAAATACTATTTGTAAGTCTACTGAATAGATTAAATTTTATACTTGGAATTATAAGTACAGGAAATTTAATAGAAAATGTTACTTAAGAACGCTGTTTTATAAGAAATTTCAAAATAGTTTTATACATATTGTAATATTTAAAACTAGGGACCCTGCTTGCTGCACTCACCTTACGCCGGAACAGCTTTCACAGCTCCCTTCGGATTGCTTCGCAATTCAAACTCGTTTCGTTCGCTCATTGGATACTGGCGTATTTAAGAGTAACTTTGAATGTATGCTGATACTCGTTTTTAAATAAATTTTTAAAAATATGCAACATATGCTGCCTCTGCAGCCCTTGATTTATAAACATTTCGTCCAATTTACGAACATTACACTGAAAAAAAGTATGATCAAAACATCCGCAATATGGTATTGATTATATGGTATTGATTTATAAACATTTCATCCAATTTACGAACATTACACTGAAAAAAAGTATGATCAAAACATCCGCAATATGGTACATTTAACCTTGTTACTGACTCTATAGGAGTACCAAAAATCTGGATAATTTTTAACGGAATGTTTTGGTAATGATTTCGGTAAAATTAAGAATTGAATATCATTTTTTAATATGTCATAAAACTCGGTGAATATGGTAAAATTTATAAGTTTCATCTTAATACCTTTGAGCGTGGCATACCAAATGAATGGTTTAAATACCGTATATTTCGGATTTTAATACCAGAACCATATAGTACCATATCCTTAGTTAAGATCCTTACCATCTAGTACAGTAATTTTAACAGAATTTTTTTTTCTGTCTGCACTTTGATGTCAACAAAGTTATAAATTTTCGTATTTCGTACTAATTAGTTATGAATATATCTTTCCAAAGAGTAAAAATTCAAAATAAATTTCTATTAAACAGTGCCGGTATTTCATTATTAAGTTTGCAAAATACTAATAAAAAATTAAGTCATACATAATCAGCGAACAGTAAAAGTAAACAATAAAGCCATTATTATTGCAAATTGGAATTACCTGAAATTATCGCTCTTTTTTAATTTTTTGTTATATTTGTTACACACAGTTCGTTAAGAAAACATAAATTCTCTTCTTTACCTTATGTTTTGTTAAAAGCTTTATGACAGCATCTTCATCTTTTCCATAATCAGCGTTTGTAAGAATTTCTAACTTCTCAGCAATCCAAGCATCGATATCTGCTGCTTCACTGTAAAACTACAAATAGAATAACATAACATTCCACCTTTATTGTTTTATTATATTATATTTTAAGATGTTTCGTTGATTCATCTTTATTGGATATAAATGAAGTTTATACTGAGTTAGCATAATTCAAAATTCAATTCATAGTTCATAGAAATAATTCAAAATTCAATTCATGGTTCATAGAAATAATTCAAAATTCAATTCATAGTTCATAAAAATAATTCATAGCTTATAGAAATAATTCATAGTTCAAAAGGTCAGATATTTAAAATTCGATTTCTCAGGAACTATTCGACCGATTTTGCATTATACATTTTGCCTTGTAAAATCATATTCTGCAGAATGATACATAATTTGTATACCTTACAATTCGATATTTTTTCGACCATTATTATATAAAATAATAAAAAATTATAAAAATATACTAAAAGTTACTATTTGTCTGTAATTATCTTCGGATAAACAAATTTTATAATTGTGTGCAAAAAATTTTCAATTCACTTAAAAAGTTCCTGAGATATGGCGAAATACGCAGAAAATAAAATTAACATTAGCGGTTTCAAACTTCGGAACGCTCTCCTGACCAAACTATGGGGACTATATTTGCCAGATTTCCCAAATTGCTATACCCCCTTTATTATGGGTTTCAGAAATCTTAATCCGTCAAAAAAAAAGGTATGTTTATTTAGAGAAAGTATGTTTTTGTGGCTGATTTCGTCACTTAAAATATCTTCTGCACTAGTTATTTGGCATATTTTAGGTAACCCCAATCCAATCATTGAGATTGAGTATTAGAACGTGAAGGCCCGATTATTAGATCAAAAATTATTCAGAGTGGTCTACTTTTTTCCGCACTGTACACTATTTGTTGTAAAGGAACTGCCACCATTTTTGTTATTTAGCAACTAAAATTTATAATTACAGTAAAATATAATACACATAGGAGTCAGTAAAGTTAGTTCCATTATACAGTAAAAAATTATTAATTAAGAATGCATATTTGTACCAATTTCTTGAAATAAAATTAGTTTGTAAATCAAACATACGCGTAGCACAGCGAGGATATTAAAGTGAATTTGAAGTAGGATTAACAGAACAGAAGCGGATAGAAATTATACATTACAAAATTATTTAATACAGTTCTCAGAAATTAAATTTGGTTCATGTGATTAAAATCAGCGTTGATCAGCAACAAACTCTCACTAATTTATTCTGGATTGCAAGCAAACTACTAGAGTGCCAACATTTGTGTTGTTAGAAGTGAAAATAATTCTCATATGGTGAGAAAGCATGGTAGTTTGGTGTAAGCTTGTTCAGTTTTAGCTGTTTTGATTGGACCGTGGTGGCTCAGGGGCTAGAGCGCTTGCCTACCAATGAGGTGGCCCGGGTTCGAGTCCCAACGATGGGTGGTTGATTCAAATTTCGCACCCGTCTCGCACCGACTACAGCGCTGACGTAAAATATCATCAGTGGATAGAGTTCCTTTGCCGTCAAGCTAACCGTGAGAAGTTTTAGTGGTTTAATTCTCCATGTAGCGCAAATGTGGGTTAGTTCCCACTGCTTATTTTCACTTCTAACAACACAAATGTCAAAAAGTCTTCCACGAAGGCAAATTTCTTCCAATATTTGATCCAGGAGTTCCCTTGTCTCCTGGATTGTATAAAATGATTTTATTCAAATTAGGCAGATTTGAATAAAAATCACTTAGTAGTGTAATCATAATAATCATTTAGTGTAATCAATGTAGAGTTCCTTTGCCGTCAAGCTAACCGTGAGAAGTTTTCTTGGTTTAATTCTCCATGTAACTTGAATGTGGATTGGTTCCCTCAAAAAGTCCTCCTCGAAGGCAAATTTCTTCCAATATTTTATCCATGAGTTACCTTGTCTTCTGGATTGGGTTCGAAACTGAAAGGCTATGGAGTAGAACATCCGTAGTCGTAAACCCAAAGCTGGGTCGGCTGTCGTGACGGTTTTAAAATGAAATAAAAAAAGAGTTTAGATTTAATTACATTCTTTAAATCGTATGTGAAAGCTTGTTTCGGTGTTAACCTGGAAAAAAGTGTTCCTTTACACAATTGTTTTGAATTCTTCAACATCATGTAAAGAAATATTTTTACTTATACGATGTATTACAATTATAGTAGAACGATGTATAGTATTACAATAATAACGCTCGTTTCGGTGTTAACCTATTAAAAAGTGCTCCTTTACGCAAATGCTTTAGATTCTTCAACATCATATTCGGAAAGATTATTACGTATACGATATATAGTATTACCATAAGAGTAGTGCGATGTATAGTATTACAGTAATAAAATGATCAATAAAAAATGGTTAAAACCGTAAGGAAGGAAGAAGAAAAATAATATAACAACTATTGTGACTAAAATTTACAAAATAAATGAATCATGTCATTATAATTTACCATATGAAGCAAAATTTTAAATTCCTTTTTTATCATTTTGCTTTTATAAATATTAACTTAAAATCAGACATTACTAGGAAAATATAGAAAAAGTATATTTTATTAAAGTTATTATTTTCTTATAAGAAAATATATCAGGTAACTACTCAATACTTACTGATTGTGCTTTATAACTAATGTTTGCTTTTTCTTTCTGAGTGTTAAACTCTTTTAACAGTTGAGTCCATTGTTCTTTCATCAAAATTGATGGTTGAGTAACGTCTACAGGACATTCATCTTCAGTGACAAGTAGAAGAACTTTTTCTTGAAGATTTTCAATGACAGCTTTATGGTTTTCAATTGCTAGTTCAAGATTCTGTAAATTGAATGTTATAATAACTAATTACTTGTTCATATCTGGTGTCTTAAAAAGTTATTAAAATCTTTGTCTAAAAGAAGACACATTCATGAACTTAAGCATATTCAGTAATATGAGCAACAATTGCAATGTTATGATTTTCATTCTAACTTTTTCTCGTTGATTTGTCAATGAAAGTTTTATGATTTTCGATCGCTAGTTCAAGATTTAGTAAATTTAATGTTATAGTAACGAATAAGTTGTTCATATCTGGTACCTTAAAAATGTTATTAAAATCTTTGTCTGAAAAGAAGGAGAGTATTTGCGTTCATGAACTTAAACATGTTATGTTTCATGAGCTTCGATCAAACTCTCAGAATTTTCATTCTAAAATCATGGTAAATTAACCGGCAATAGTCTGTTTATCCTATTAACCCAAAAATTTATGGTTAGGAACATTTTTTAACTTTACGATTTTGAAACCGTTTACAACTAATAAGGTTGAAAAACAATAAATACGAAACTGTACGGAATTCTTTTTTTTTCTTTTTTTTTTTTGCATTCAACGTTAGACAAAGGTGTAATTGTTTAAATATCAGTGCGTAAGTTTTGTTTTTGGTATTCGATTTGATTAATTTCAAATGATAATTATACAAGCACATTCGGTAAAAAAAAGTCGTATGCATTTTTGGGTACATATTTCTGCTAATTTCATAGCACATTTAGTGTACATAATTTTGTTACTGGTCAGAGCATGTATTAAGTACCGAAAGTGGTTGCTTTTCTTAAATATATCACTATATCGTAAATTTCATTTGCATTTAGATATATTAGATTTAATGTTCCCCACTGAACATCAAACTGACTCTAACGTAAACATTACATAATTTTTTAATTTATGAAAAGGGTTTAATATTTCACAAACATGGACCAAGTCTGCCTTATATTTTTAAACATCAGTTTATTTTTAAGAAGTTTTAGAAACTTATTGTTTATGTGTTAGCTTTAAGAACTTAATAAATAATTTACAGAATAGCTTATAAAAACTATGTAAGTGCATTTTGTACTTACTCCAATTTTCTTTTGGAATTTTTGAGCATCCAACAAATTGCGAATAACCGGGACTGTTGAAAGTAATACCATTTGCTCTGAAATCCACGTTTGTTCTCTCTCAACATCTGATTTGAATTGATAAAATTTCAAACAAGTTTCAAGTTTCTGTCTTCTTTCAGCCAAAGGCTTTTCTAATTCATCTGATCTAAAATGAAATAAAATTTAAGATTCATCTCTTATTTTAAAATATCCTTAAACCTATTTAAATTCAAAGGATGACATCAGATTCGAAACGGCTTCAGGGATGAAGTGTTCCTTTTCCAATAAGAAGATGCCGGTTTGAACCCAACGATGACTGGTTCATTTTGCATACAGCATTCAGTTCGCAACGACCATGGATAGTGGGATCAAGTCCCCTTCCAGCATAGTTTCGCCTAATAGAGAATTTCATTGTTTTCTTATCCTTGTAACGCATTGTAAACTAGTTTCAGTCAATGAGTCCTTCACGAAAAATTGTTGATCCCAGAGTTTCCTTGTTCTCTGGATTGTGTTGCAAATTGAAAGTCTACCAATCTGAGCATTGATAGCCATTAAGTTAAAATCAATCAGTTGCTCATCAGTAATGAACAAATGAAACAAAATAGATTAAACATGTCAACTTTAATAGACATTTCAATATGAGAAAGTTATGTCAACATGGATTCAAACCTCCATATCCTAGAATAAAAAGTTATGCTTTGGAGTGAACAAAAATCGTGTAAATCATTGTTTATCTATTGGTGTATGTTGAATTAATTATTTCGAAGCAATCATGACTAAACATATGGTCAAATAAAAAACTTGTCTTCACTCATCACGAAAATTCAAATTATTAGACTGTGTCAATAAACTTCAAGTTGATCGCTGGAAGCATCAACAGTGGTTTACTCCATTGTTGATAATATTGGCAGGAAATGACTGCTTTGTGAAAATGTGTCATCAACATATGTCGCGATCGAAAATTCTTTAAACGATAAAAATAGCAAAACTGTAATTAAAAACAGCTTTAGTAAAGAAATTAAATAATTTTCTCGTTATTACTATCATTTTATTACGATTTAATTTTTCATTTCACGAGATCAAGGTCAATGAAGTTAAACAATACACGTTTTTCTAGTTGATAATAATGCATTACCCAAGTAATAAATTAAATATGATAACTCGTAAATCCCCTTTAAAGCAGATTTACATATACATACCAACGTCTTGGTTCTCCGTGTTTTTTAAAACATTTTATAGAGTTCACATTTATTGGGTTGACAAATTAATTCCCGCCGTTTATTTATTTATTAACATTCTTATTTTTAATATTGTTGATAATGCCCTATCTAGATCATAAATAAAATATGATAACTGGTAAATCCCCTTTGTAACAGTGTTGTATTTATATACCCACGTCTGGGCTCTTTGTGTTCCCTAAACCATTTTATAGAAGTCACACATATTGGGTAGGAAAATTAATCCCCGCCGTTTTTTAAATTTATTTTTTAACATTCTTGTCTTTTAAGATTATTTATAATGCATTATCCAGATCACAAACTAAATATGATAATACCCAGGTTATAAATCAAATATGATAACTCGTAAATCCCCTTTAATGCAGATTTACATACCAACGTCTTGGTTCTCCGTGTTTTCTAAAACATTATATAGAGTTCACATTTATTGGGTTGGCAAATTAATCCCCGCCGTTTTTTATTTATTTATTTTTTAACATTCTACATCTCATTAAATGCTTTTGGCATAATATATTATTCGAAAGAGGGTGCTTTGTTTTACCGAATCTCTGTATCAGTAAAATGGAATGTCAAGTTGTAGAAAATGAACAGAAGAAAAAACGATTTTCGAGAACTACTTGATTTTGCTTTTAATCAAGGTTTCAGACAGCAATAGCTGTTCATGACATTTGTGCTATTTATGTAGAGTGTCTCATAGCTAAAAGAACCACTCCTGTTTGATATGCAAAGTTTACAAACATAAACTTTGATTTAAAATTGTTCTTTGGTTGTTAATCAACTTTCGCACGATAATTTGCTAGAAATGACATAACTAACAAAAAAAAAGAGAATGTTACACTTTAAGCTTTAAAGCAATTTTCAAAAAAGCGGGAACTTAGATGCCAACTAAATAACTTTGAAACTATAAATTAAATGTTTGTAATACATCATTAATAAAATTATCATTGTTCTTACTTATTGGTCATTTTTGTGAGAAGTTTTTGTATAGCCTCTTCTTCGCAATTAGCTTCAATTAGTTGATTTCCTTGCCCAACCAACAGTGATATCTTTGGCAGTAATGAGCTTTTTTCGTTTTCTACAGTCTAAAATATTAATAAAGTAAATAAAATTATTCATCTAATTAAATTGTGTTCTTTTATGATAGATCATAAAGCAACACCTAAAAACATGAAGTAATGCATTAATATATTAAACGAAACATGAAAATTAAATAATACACCACTTAAAACAATAAAACAGTTGAAGAAACTGTTTTTGGGAGTTCATTTAATTTTTTAATACTTACCCAACGGAATCCAAATCGAATCAAAAGCTTCTAGAAGTGTAGATTGATTTAATTATACAATGTCTATAATTTATGCCTATAACTGTTACAATTCCGTAGTAGTTTGAAGAAACGATTGTGCGTTATAAAAAATAAGCAAATGATATACACTCTTTCAAATTTTTGAAGCACTCTTTCTCAAGATCACTTGCCTCCAGATCTTTAACACGTTCACGCCGGGGTGACCCACCAGTGGGTCACGCTAGATTGTCTCATCTTGGCAACGCACCGGAGTAAAAACTGGTAACAATAAATTTCAATTTTTAGTTTTTTTCCGGGAATAATAAAAATCCATAACTACCAATTGTTTTTAACGGATGCAGTTTTTATATTGAATTGCTTCTTCGTCGTGATAAATTTCCTTACAGTGAATTGTTATTGTTGAGAATAGATTAACTCCTCCCGAATATTATCTAATATTGAAATAGTTCTTCTACCAGTATTTTCTCTTTTCCCGTACCAGTATTTCACTTTTCCCGGCGTGAACGTGTTAATCAAACTTATTATGCTTCGAAGATTTTTTTCCATAATTAGTTGAAGAAACTGTTTTGGGAAGTTAATTAAATTTTTGAGAACTTACCCAACGGAATTGATACATCCTCTCGAAGCAAGAGCTTCTAGAAGTGTAGATTGATTTAATTATGCAATGTTTATAATTTATGCCTATAACTGTTACAATTCCGTAGTAGTTTGAAGATACGATTGTACGTTATAAAAAATAATCAAATGATATCCATTCTTTCTAATGTTTGAAGCACTCTTTCTCCAGTTAACTTACCGCAAGATCTTTATTTGAATTTTCTACACAAATCTTTTGCATAATTAGTTGAAGAATCAGTTTTTGTGAGTTCATTTATTTTTATTAGAGATTACACGATGGAATCGATAAAGTCTCTCAAAGCGAGAGTTTCTAGAAGTGTAGATTGATTTACTTTTACAATGTCCTTAAGTGATGTCCATAACTACTAAAATTGCGTAGTAGTTGCAAAGTATGATTATATGTCATAAAAAATGGGTAAATGATATACACTTTTCAACTCTTTGAAATACCCATTTCCAAGTTAACCTACTTCTAGATCTTTAATTGAACTTTTTACGCTTCTCAAATCTTTTCCATAATTAGTTGAAAAAACTGTTTTTGTGAGTTCCTTTAATTTTTTTTGCAGCTTACTCGCCGAAATTGCCAAAATCTTTCAAAGCAAGAGCTTCTAGAAGTGTAGATTGATTTACTTCTACAATGTCTATAAGTTACTGCTATAACTACTGAAATTCCTGGTGGAAAGTATGATTATACGCCATTAAAAATAAGTAAATGATACACACTTTTTTAAATATTTGAAACACCATTATCAAGTTAACATACCTCTAGATCTTTAATTAAACTTTTTACGCTTCGCAAATCTTTTCCATAATTAGTAGAAGAAACTGCTTTTATGAGTTCATTTAATTTTTTTAGAATTTGCTCGACAGAATTGCTAAAATCTTTCAAAGCAAGAGCTTTTTGAAGTGTAAATTGGTTTAATTCTACAATGTTTATAAGTTATGCCTATAACTACTAAAATTTCCTAGTGTTTGCTAAGTATAATTATACACCATAAAAAATAAGTAAATCACATACATTTTTCAAATATTTGAAACACCATTCTCAAGTTAACATACCTCTAGATCTTTAATTAAACTTTTTACGCTTCGCAAATCTTTTCCATAATTAGTAGAAGAAACTGCTTTTATGAGTTCATTTAATTTTTTTAGAATTTGCTCGACAGAATTGCTAAAATCTCTCAAAGCAAGAGCTTTTTGAAGTGTAGATTGATTTAATTCCACAAGGTCTATAAGTTCATTCCAGGAATTCCCAAGCTCTTCAAGTATTGATGCAACTTCATTTTGATTGACATTCGTGTTGTCTTTAACTAGGGTTTCTCCTCTCTGAAACAAGAAATAATTTTTTTAAATTTCAAAAACTATTTTTATTTTTTTAAATATTTGTCAATAATAAAAACTACATATTACCAATAGAGTGTTTGTTAATCTATCACGATTTGCTGAAATTTCTGCTTCAAATGTTTGTTGTCTTTTCATTTTATAAGGAAGGTTCACAGAAATATCAATTGTCAAATCTTTGGCAAGTTTTGTTTTCTCCAAAATCCAAGTATTCATCTGAAAATGAAGGAAAGTTTAAATATCACAATTGGTTTTCAAAACCACTTCCATTTGTTTACTAAATTTTAATTAAATAGTTTTAAGCATAGATTTTAGATTAATTTCTAGAATGCAACTGAGCTATTGATTGTTTTAAGAAGCATTTCTTTCTCAAAAAGTAAATTTATAATTTTCTAACAAGTGAAAAATTACGAATAATTTTAGTGTTTATAATTATTTAGTTTTTAAAATGTTATAAAGTAGTAAAAATCTCAATTTGGTAAAAAATAAAAAGTAAAGATCGAATAAATGAAGAAAGCTTAATGCAGCGTTTTTACCAGTCACGAAATGTTTTGTGATATTTATTCCAAATTCAACAATTTTCAGGTATTTTTTACCTAACTAATTTATAAAATACAATTCGAAAACGAATTCGAAATTGAGGAATAGGAATATTTTTTTTTAAAAAAAAGTGGTGTTTAAAAGAAGCACTATGAGAGATTTTAGTTTGAGATTCTCGTAAAGTGCGTTGCAAAAAATTCCGAATCAAATTGCGGTAAAATATTTTTACTGTAAAATCTATTTTTACCGTAACATGTTACGGAACAAAAAATCTGATACATCTTAATTTTCACAGTAATTATCGTAAAATTACTAAATAACTCTCATTAAATACATATTTTACGGATAATGCACCCTACGGTGCCAATAATACGGTAATTTTATTCAGAATTTTTCAGGGCGTGGACACTGATGAATTATTAATGACAATATCATTACATTGTCAGAATTATTGATCGACAGAAAGTTGAGTCAATTATCTCAACTAAAGTGATTACTTAACCACCAATGAAAAAGTTACTAAATGAAAGGTTAGCTAATTTTTTTTTTTTTAAATCAGAATCTTTCATAAATATTGTAAGGTTAATATAAGACTAGCAAAAAAAAAAGGAAAACGACTTAAATATTATGTTTGAGAACGATAATGGAAGAATATTAAAACGTAACGCCTGGCATTATTTCAATCAATGGGAACAAAATGTGCTAAAAAAACGAATACTCTTTTACCTCAAAAGCATCAGCTTTAAATTCTTGAAATTCAAAAATATCTAAAAGGATATTTTTCCTGTTTTCAGCCAGCTGTTTCACTTTTTCTCTTTGTTCCACAGTTTGATCTTTCTTGATTTTTATGCTGAAATAGATTTAACTGTATCATTATCTAAGCACATATTCAAATAATCCATGTTTTTAAATCATTAAAATCTCGTACATTAATATGGCAAACTTTTGTTGGTTACATCCTTTCAAGCCATGAATCAAGATATTAGCTAATACATGAATGGCTTGTATATTCATAGATTAGACTCTGGCATTCATATGTTAGGTATCTTGCATCCATATACTTATAAATTAGCTTCTTTAAAAAATAAATTAAATTAAATATCCTTAAATAAAAGTAAAAAAAAGTTGTCTTTATTCCGAATAGGTACTTACGAATAGGAATAGGTATACAGTAGGTTTTCATCTAAGATCGTAACTTAATTCCCTAAGAGCTTCCCTCAATTCTTGAATGTTAGTCTTTTATATTAGAGAATGCGATTATTAAGCCAAAGGTTATTCAAGTCGAGATATCGTTTATTTTTACTGGTAATTTAGAAAATTTTTAATCATTGCACTAGAATACGTACAATTTTATAATAATATCATGCCAAAGACAAAAATTCATGACGGTTTTTCATTGATGGACCAGCATAAATGTGATGGTTACCATTTTGAATTTCCATCAAAAACCATCATGCAGCTTGATGGGACCATCAAATCTGCTCAACATCTCACGTTAGGAATTATTACTTTTTCATGTTAAGCCAACATAGCATACTCATCATACTATGACGAATTTTTATAATAGGCCAACAACAAAAAAAAAACATCATGATCCAACATAAATTACTGGTTATCATTAAAATTTTCGATCATGAACCATCAAGCTTTTCCTTGGGATCATCAAGACTGCCATCAAAAAAAATTCAACAATATTTGCAAGCTACACATTATAATTTTCCATCACAAACCATCGAGCTTTCTGTTGGGACCATTAAGACTGCCCAACATCCCGATATTGAAATTGATTCAGCTTTATGTTGGGTCAATCCACTCTCTTTGCTTTGGTTTGGGGGGGGACCTCTTTCACTTCTTTATATCTTACCTTTATAAGATGCGTTACCAGACGATGATCATTTTAGCTGCTCACCGCATCAAACGAAGAGAGTGTTTTCCACTACCAGCTCACACCCACACACTCCTAATCTACCTTTCTTACCCTTAATAAAAAAAATTATTGACTTTTTAGCTCCCGTCATATGAATTTTCAATTTATTTAACTGACTATTGATGTCCATCATTGTACTGAAACAACGTTTTCCATCACGAAATGAAGGTAGTTGTTGACCCAAGAACTTCAAACATAACTTGTTGGTTGATCATCATAGTGCTAAAGCAACATTTTCCATCATGAGATGGTGGAATTTGTTGGTCAAAGAATTTCTAACATAGCATGTTGGTTGACCATCATATAATAAAAATCATCTTCCATCATGAAATGATGGAGGTTTGTTGACCCATCAAAATTCATTACCACATGATGGGAATTATCCGATGATGTTAACCTGTAAATAGTGCTGGGCCAGCAAGAAACTAACATGAACCATCAAAAAATCTTGATGGTCTCATTAAGATTTCATCAGCATCAAGATTGGGCATATTTCATCAAGATTGGGCATATTTCATCATCATCAAGATTGGGCATAAACCATCAAAAAATCTTGATGGTCTCATCAAGATTTCATCGTCATCAAGATTGGGCATATTGATTGCTTTGAAAATTTAACTAAATAAAAACGATATAGTTTCCTGTATATTGTTTTACTGTGAAAAAATCGAAGGATATTTATTAAATATTAGTTTTCTACTTAATTTTAAACACTTAAAATTTTTTGGCACTATCTTAAAATAAATGATCATTTCATATATATTGCTTCTTTAGATTTCTTAGCTTCTTACATGGTCATTAAAACTATTTCTAAAAAAATCTTTATAAAACGCTTGTTTAACGTTGAATCATAATATTGTGCATTAAATCATAATCTCGTATTAAATCATAGTAGCATATAAAAAAAAATCGTTTTCATTTACCAAGCCTAATAATAAATTATATTTAAAAAAAAAAGTTCAGAAATGTAATGGGGAAACAAAACAAGCATGCAAAGTAATCAACGGAGAACTAAACTAGATACTTTGAAAAAAGTAACATTAACTGTAACATTATTGCACATTCATGACTGCATAAGTTACAGACATTCTTTTTCAGAAGAATTATAATAAATCTAATAATATTTATATGCAGTCAGGGTAGTATTTTCCAAACACTTTACATAAATAAACTTCACACTTGAGTGTGTAAAGATAAATTAATATGATAAAACATCAAAAAATTAACCATACTATTCACTTTCTGTATGTCCGGCATCTATCAGTGAATCAGACATTTTTTCATATGCATTAAAGCGAGATTCTTGAGCTTTCATTGTTTCAACGAGAGTTTCAAGATGCCGTAGTAAAATTTCAGCATCACTTAAGGTATCCTAAAAGTATACAATATGAAGTAAAAAAGAATCAAATAATAAAAGTTAAATAAGTACATGATTAAATAATACTGAAATAAAATGTATCTGCAGGGTAAATTTTGTAGTTTTCGAAAAGTTCGTTAAAAATTATTATTATTTTTTTTTTAAATTTTATTTTTTTGATATTGCGTGTTTAATTTTTTTAAAAATAATTAATCAGCAAGGCTTGAAAATTAAATACTTAATTGCAAGTTTTACATATATTATACCTAAGTATGCTTAAAGCAATGTCGATGTATATTTTGTAAACATAATAATAAACAAAATTTGTAAAGATACAAAATTAAAATATTTTTACAGACATTGAAAAAAAAACAGATCTCTAAATTTTTTATTACAAACGAAGGCATTTTAGATGGAAATGAATGCAAGGGCGCCGGCAGCGGGGTGCAAGAGGGTGCACTTGCACCCCCCAGGCTTTTTCCTAAACAATTAAAGAGATACAGAAAAACAAATTTGTCATAAAATTTTTTCATTAAAAATTTTTTTATTAAAAAACAAATAATTAAGTAATTATTCATACATAACAATTAAAAAATTGTTTAATCAAACAAGAATTGTAATCGTCTTGTTTGCTGTCCAAATCTATTTATAACTTTTTCAATGAATTCTGAGTCATCTTTGATTCTTTTCTTATGCACACTGAGCATGCAGAGACTTGGCAGATATCTAAGCTATATTTTTAAATTTCATTTAATGAAATATAAATAATATTATATTTTCGATTAGTTATTTAGTTTAAGAAAGGTGTATAACACAAACTGACTTCTCGCAACTGTAAAACTTCATCATCACAATAAATACCAATGTTAAGCGTGCACAAACACACTAGTATACGAAAATACTGTTTGTAGTTATTTGTGTTTCAAAGTCAGTAGCTATGCCAGTGCCATCAATACAGTTTCTTGAGGCATAATTTGCTAGTACAAGAAATTCGTATTTTTTTTTAAATATCTTGTTAGCAATGAAGAAATGTATCTTGAAAAACATTAACAGATGAAAGTATATGTAATAACAGAATATTTTAACCCTTTAATGGGCCCTTTATTTCTAGTAAAGGTAAATTAAAGTATTTTTGGAATTGAAGTTGTTTTAAGAATAGTAATTGATATAAAAAAAAAAACTCATTTAGTTTATAAAAATGCCATTTTTTTGGTGGTAAATATATTTAACATGACCTATTAGGAACTTACTGACTTTAATTTTTCTTTATTTATAAAATAAATTCCTTAAATGCTACAAACTTCAAAAAGGAATCATGTATTTTATAACTTTTATACGTTTTTTAAAAGTGACAAATGGTTACCAATTTTATTCAAACTCACTTCAAGAAAGCTGAAGATATTGAAAAATGGAACCCTAAATTAAAAGTGGTAAAACGTGGTGGTAAATATACTTACCACGGCCTTCAAAAGGGTTAAATAATTTTTTTTTTTTGGGGGGGGGGCTTGTTAGAGTTAGTAGTTTGTTAGAGGGTTGCACCCCCTTTTCTATTATTCTACCTGCGCCTTTGAATGAATGCATTTTAGTAATTTTAATATTAAATAAATCTTCATTAATTGTTATTTTACCTTTGCTTTAAAATAATTTGTATGTAAAATAATGACAAAAAATATAAGATTAAAATATAAATTGATAAAACTAACGATATTGTTTATTCGAATTTATACAGAATTAAAACTATTTCATAACCAAATTTTGGGGTTTATTTCATTTCATTGAAATAAATTAATTTCACCATTAGTAGAGTTTCAAGTAACTTCCAATAGAGGGAGCCACTATATATGGCTTTCTAACTCAAGTTAGTCGGGGAGGGGGTCGCATTTAAGATTTCACTAAAATATTGATTATGTATTAGAAAAACTACAGTATCTGGCCTTATTATTAGACGCACTATAAGATTCTATGTAAAATCTTAATTAGCAGGTGATAATATGCAGCTTTATTGTTTTTAAGCTACTGAAACCAGTTTGCACCTGTTTACGTTCGTGTATCAATTGGTTAAATTAAACAATATATAATATAATTTCAACGACTGGATAAATGAGACAATGTATTATATAAATATAGAATATTTATTATATCAGTATTTTATAATAATTAGACCAAATTTTTAGACGCGCTGTAGTTTTTTAATAATTACATGTTTTGCACGAGTTTATAGGCAATACTTTTATATTTAAACATACATGTAATGGGTTTTTATTAAGGAGATTTTTAATATACTTCCTATTTGAATTTATTTTTAACGTATTGCATTACAATGTTAATCAATTGATACACGAACGATAATTGATACACGATCAATTGATACACGAATTAGTGCAAACCGGTTTCAGCAGCACAAAAACAATAAAGCTGTATAGTATCACCTAATAATTAAGATTTTACATAGAGTCTTATAGTGCCTTTAACCAGGGACTGTATATCTATGTTACCCTTTGTTCTGTTGATATCAGAAGAGTACTTTGGGTTGAGCATAGTCTTTGCAGGTGATCAGTTTCTTTATTAAACAGGTGCAAATCTCGTTTTTGTTGTAGCCAAACTTCTTTTTCAACCCAAAGATCTGAAACAGTAGCTTTAGATTCTTCCAATTGTGCTAAAAGAGGTCTCACTTCAGCATGTTGATCTTGAATGGTATTACCTAATTCTTCAGCTTCCTCAAATCTACACAGTAAATAAATAAATAAAAATAAAGCTGTGAGATAATCAATATTTCAAAATTCAGAGGCAAATACTAGTATAAGGATGAATTATACTTTTTGTAAAAATAATTGGAGTCTCGCGTGATTTCCCCACTCCCCACACTTTTCCCCTCTTCATTACCATGGTTTAAATAACAGAGCTACGATAGCTCAGGGGATAGAGCGTTCGCCTTTCAATGAGGTGGACAGGGTTTGAATCCCGGCTATGTCTGGTCGATACGAATTCCGCATATGGCTTGCACCGAGCACAGTGCTGACGTGAAATATACTCAGTGGTAGACGGATCATTGGTTGGAGTCTCCTAGCCGTCAGGCTAACCGGGGGAAGCTCTCGTGGTCTTCCTCACCATGCAACGCAAATGCAGGATAGTTCTATCAAAAAGTCCTCCACAAAGGCAAATTTCTCCCAATACTTGACCAGGAGTTCCCTTGTCTTCTGGATTGGTTTAAAAATTACATGGCTACGGAGTTGAACATTAGTACTCGCAAACCCGAAAATTGGGTCGGCTGTTCAACGACGGTAATAAAATAAAAAGTATATTTCAATAATCACGATATTTCAAAACTACGGTATGCAGAGGGGGAAAATATGAAGAGTGGAGAAATCGTCTAGTCTTGAGACGCACGTGAATTATTTATACCTGTTTATCGAATCTTTTAAAACAAAGTAAATTCCTTAAATCCCTTTTTTTCTGCTTAAATTTTGAGCAAAGATATTGATTGCTTATTATTAATTTAAGTTATTTAAACTTTTGCTGCTTATTAACTACGCATCATTTCTTTAATTGAGAAGAAAACTAGTCAATTTAAAGTGATATAAATAACAATACCGCGGATTCTGCGCTATTAAAAATTATCAGTAGCAAATTTAACTTTGTTTAATTTTGTTGAAACATTAATATGATGCTAATTTGAATTCTATTATCGTATTTATTCATCGTGTAATCATTACATAAAGTAAATTTTCTTCACCTTAAATAAGGTATTAAATGGAATCAAGTGTGATAAAATTGTGTCATAGTCAATCGAATTAAAAAAGGATTAAATTTCGCAATAATATGGTTTAACTACGTACCGTAATATGGTTACAGCAGTTTTGAAAAATTCAAAAAGGATTAAATTTCGTAATAATATGATTTAACTACGTACCGTAATATGGTTACAGCAAATTTGAAAAATTCAAAATGGACTAAATTTCGTTCTAATAGGGTTTAACTACACGCCGTTGTATGGTTAAAGAAAATTTGAATAGTAGTATTATAGTTCACCGCGCGTCAAAATTTCGATGTCACAAAATTTTACATTTTTTATGTTTATAGGATCGTATTTGTTATGAGAAGTGCCACTTTAAACACGATTTAAAAACATTGATTTGTACGTATAATATATTAGTATAAAATGTTTAGTACTTTCCTATTATTTTGTAATCTAATCTTACTTTTGCTGTGTAGTTATTTTAAAATTCGATAGATGGAGACACTGCACATTTTATAAAAATAATTTTTAAAATTATTTTTATAAAATAAATTGTTATACAGTCGTCTCCACTCAATTGCATATCTGATAATCGAATAACCAGCTTATACGAATAAAATTAAATCGAACCACATCATTTTTTATGAAACTAATGTTAAATTTCCCCGGTTAAAGAGATATTTGCTGTTCTTGTCCCCGCCTACCTGCCTAAAGAAGAGATACTGAAATGAAATATTTATTTTTGAGAAATGCTTCACCAGCTGAAATGGAATTTCCGTTTTTCAGTTAAGATAAGTATACAACAGGTGGTCACTTCAATAGGGACTTCTTGTTCATTAGTTGGTCTAAAGTTGAAGAATGAATCAAATATTGCTGTCAGTTATCAAATCTTTGGTACTCCTAATGTAATCTTACTTTGTAATGTAATCTTACTTTTGCTGTGTAGTTAGTTTATAAATTGATAGATAGAGACACTAAACACTTTATAAAAATAATTTTTAAATATTTTTTTATGAAGTTATTTGTTGGTTATTTGTTGAAGTTATTTGTTTTTTATGAAGTTATTTGTAGGTCAAACTTCAGTTTTTATAAAAAATGTTGCTACAACTATTATTGTAATATATAAAAACTATTTTTATAGAATCTTTGTATTTTGTTGTCTTTACTGCGTCAACATATTTCTTATTACTTGAAATATTTTTTTTAAAAAATATTAAATATACATGTTTATTTTTTATAATGGACTGGTGGACTTTATGAATTAGAAATTTTAGAATGACTAATGAAGAACGGAAGTTATGAATATATTTCTAATTATATATAATTTTTCATTTAAAGCATTAATTGTATATATATTCTTTTTCTTTAATTTTATTTTGGATTAAATGGAATTTACGAATTAAAATTTCTAGAATTACGAATAACGCATTACTGATTATTAATAACTATGTAATAGATATTTACATAATATTTAAAGTTTTGTTCTATACTTATCATGGATCAAATTTGCATAAGTTTAAAAAAAATTAAAATATTAAAATTTGTGAGTTAAGTTTGTTTATTGTTTTAAGTTTTCTTATTGTTTAAAAAAGTTTTTTTTAAATAATTTACAGTTAAATATGCGAAGATAAATATCTTAAAAATAATAAGTAAAAAAAAAACTTATAGTAAAACAATGCAATTCATAATAGTAAATAAATCAAACTTAGGTTTTAACATATCCAATTGTGTTAGTACTATTATCATTTAAAAAAAAAACTTAATTTAAAATTTTAAGTGGCGTCCTTTATCAATCTGTAAAGTAACTAAGCAGCTGTTCAAATTGGAACAACTCGAAATGTTTTTTTTTATGCAGTATTTAAAGTATGACAGCTAATAAAAATACATGTTATCAAAACGATTTTTTGTGGAGCGTACAGAGCGTTATTTTGTGGAACGCTGTTTAGTCTGCAGATTCTGATAAATTCTATTTGAAATTTATTATTTACCAGAAATATATAAAGTATTAACTACTTTCTAAACCTATTACATTGGAATGACACATGACGAATAATTGAGTGGAATGACGACTTTATTTTCATTTTACCTTCCAATATTTAAATATTTTGAAATTAAAAAAACGCACCTGTGCATTTGAGTTGATATTTCATCCTTTACGTCATGGTGTTCTTTAATTACATTATCCACAACTCCAAGATCACCAATTTTTTCTCTTACATTCAATTTTGTAACCATCATGTATGACCATTCAAGCTTTGAAAAAATTTAATAACAGAAATAAATTAACAACCAATATGTTAACACAGGTTCATGATAAAAAAGAAACCTAAAAAAGCTAAAAAGTAAAAATTTTGACATAGCTTATTTTCTTAATACTGCATTTTCATATATTAGCGAAAACAATACAATTTTAGTCGAACTATATCTATTATCTTCAGAGATAATTAAATATTTTAAGTTATCTGAGTTAACAACATAAAACGTTTGCAAAAATGTTACACCAAGAAACAGAAAATAAAAGTGCATAATTTTTTAGTTAGAGATTTCCCTTTCAGTATGAATTCCATTGCTTGATTTTTTTTCAATCATAGATTGCATCAAAATTATCTTGAGAACAAGAATGAATGCGTTTTTTTTTTCAATTATAGATTGCATCAAAATTATCTTAAGAACAAGAATGAATGCGTTTTTTTTTTCAATTATAGATTGCATCAAGATTATCTTAAGAACAAGAATGAATGCGTTTTTTTTTCAATTATAGATTGCATCAAAATTATCTTAAAAACAAGAATGACTGAGTTCATAAGTTTTCAAAGATTAAAAAAAGCAAGTAAATAAAAACATTACGTATCGAAAAAATGTAAGTATACATCATGAAATATTATAAGAGATTTCGAAAGTAATATAGTAATGAGAGGACGAAAATCAAGTATATACTGTATATAATTTTAAAAAACAATGTAAGCAATTAAGGAGGGACAAAAAAAAAATTTTTACTGTAGTAACTAAAGTAAAATACTGTCGTCTGCATACTCCTGATAAAATATAAATCTCTGGAGGAAATATTTATCAGCAAAAGGGTTTAAGGCATACTTTAATGCACCATAACTTTTTCAAATGTGAATATTTACATCAAACTGTTCTTTAATATTCACATAAATACTCTCCTGTACTTTTGTAACTTTTTACTGTAGTATTTAAAGTAAAATATTGACATTTGCCTACCCCTGACAAAATATAAAGCTTTGGTTGAAATTTACTACAATAGGGTTTAGAGCTACTACAATAGGGTTTAGAACATATTTTAATACACCATAATTTTTCAATGGTGATATTCTTACATCAAACTGTTCCTTAGTATTCACATAAACTCTCTCCTATACTTTTGTCCCTTTTTACTGCAGTCATGAAAGTAAAATACTGATGTTGCCGACCCTTGTAAAAATATAAAGCTTTGAAGATAATTTTTTTATTAAATCAGGGTTTAGATCATATTGTAATGCGCCATAATTTTTCAATTTTTCCTATGTTTATATTTTTGCTCCAAACTGTTCCTTAGTATTCATATAATCATTCCCTTCTATTTTTGTCACTTTTTACTGTAGTATTTCAAGTAAAATACTGACGTTTGCCTACCTCTAGCATAATATAAAGGTATTGTGGTATTTTCTTCATATCTGGGTTTAGAGCATATTGTAAAACACCATAGTTTTTCCAAAGTTGATATTTTTACTCCAAACTGTTCCTTATTATTCTCACAAACACTTTCCCGAGAAATTTGAAAATGAGATTTATTACGTTGTTCGATGTCTCTTACTTCAAATGTTTATGAATGAAAGGAAATAGTAATGTGACAAATTAAAAGAAAAGAGGGATACGTTTTACGTTTATTTGTTTATTGTATAATATTAACAAATGTTAAATGGAAATTAAAGTATTAATCTACACTAATTTATTTAGCACTGAAATATTTTCTTGTGATTCAAACTAATCAACATTCTTAAATACTTCGTTTAAATCATAAATTTAGCAAAAACAAAAAAATAAATAAGTAAGACAAATAAATAAAATTCATCAATAAAATAATATTTATAACATTTTTAGTATTAAATATAAAATTTAATTTATAAAGATGTAAAGCATTAAAAATATTAAAACTTAAATACATAAAGGTAAGTATTACATTTTGAAATAAATAAATTTATTTGAAAATAATTACCAGATCAGAAGCATAATTTTTGAAAATCTGCAATCCAGCTGTTTCTTCTAATTTCTGTTTTCTTTCTTTTATCGATAACTACCAAGAAAAGAAATTACTTCATAAATGCCATTTCATGCAATGAATACATTCGATGTAAAACATTTAAGATACATAAAAAAATAAAAAATATTTAATTAAGCTCTTGTTCAAACGCATATACAGCAGTTACTCGTCAGCAAATTACGGAAAAACCGGTTTTTTCGATGGGACTTTCTTACAAATTATTTCAATGCATTGTTATTTATTTCAGAACTAAAACAGGACTTAGTGGTGTGATCGGTAGGGTACTCGCCTACCCCGCCTTCGGTTGGGGTTCGATTCCCTTTGGTAAAAGCTGATTGGTTGATCCGTTTCGATCGTGTTTCGGTGTTTTCTGATTGGACGCGAATGTAATGTTACCTGTGATTTCAGAACAGAGAAGAAATTCACTTAGCTTTTACTTACTTTATTTCTGTATCGTAACTGAGTCTTCTAGTAAATATTTTTGCGAAAAATTTTCGTATTTAATTCTTTGTAATTCCTGAAAAATTACTATCGGCTAATGCTCACGCGAGTTTTATGTCAATTGAAGGAATTTTGAAGAAATAGGGGAAAAAATTGAATTGCGAAATTTTTGATTTTGATCCACGTGACATGTATAAAGTATAAATCTATAATGAACTCAAAGAAATAAGTAACTTAAATTCTAAACGACCAACTGAAATGTTACTTTAAATTTACATCTTTAAGAATTTAAGAGTTTGTTGCAAATAATTAAGTTTGTAGCATAAATAGTGAAAAGAGTTAATAGACTAACAAGACACAATTTACTAATAAGCATACATGGCAGTACTTTTACTTTCGTTACTTGTACCGCCGGTACAAGTAAAAAGTACGTACTTTTACTTGTACTTCGTTACTTTTTAAATTTAGTACTTTTACTTGTACTTTCGTTACTTTTTTAGGGAAAAAGTA